CTACAGCCTCAGTCCTCGTTCTACAGTCTGAGTCCTGGATCTACAGCCTCAGTCCTCGTTCTACAGTCTGAGTCCTGGATCTACAGCCTCAGTCCTCGTTCTACAGTCTGAGTCCTGGGATCTAGAGTTTTTCCTTGTCGATGCAGGAGATTCTGTTGGACAAATTAGTGTCTAACAAGAAGGACTGTGATGATCCTGGACACTTGAACATTCTTGTCTCATTGTAATTGTAATGTATTGTATGTTGTTTAACTGCGGTTCCACGCAGAGAGAGTCCTCCCTGCACCAGACTACACTGATCTGCTGTTAGTGGCGTCCATCCCACCGGTGGTTCATCAGGAGTTTTTCAGCCCATGCAGCACAGTTACAGAGCGTGAATGCTAATGCCGCCATTGAGATGCAGAGCGCGCCGGCAGAGCTGGGACCTCGGCTCTCATACACCAGTCACTACAAAGCCCACAAATGTATGCACACGCCACCAACTAATAGCTTCAGCCCGTACAGAATCAGACATTGTCCGTGCGGAAGCCAAGTGCGTCCCCAGGTCTACGGGACAGAATGGCCTACTCTACGCCGTTTTGCATGATAACAAGTGACCACCGGGGAAGTCGGCGATTCACATCTGATTAGTGGATTTGATTGGCACACAAGACAAATGGCAGGACCTTAATCGCTTCTTTATATGCACTCATCATTTGGATTCTGGAAATGAGAAAGTGTCATACAATTGTAGATTCTATGGCTGGAAATCCTCTATCTATATGTAAATGAATTGGTGCGCTGCTCGTCTCAATAATGAATAGTATAAACAAGCATAGTATCAGTCAATGTGTTAAAACCGAGGAGCTTAAAGTAGCAATATGTAAGATTTTCATGTAAAGTCCTCTTTAAAGGGCCCTAATCTGTCCTCATTAAAGGGCCCTAATCTGTCATCATTAAAGGGCCCTAATCTGTCCTCATTAAAGGGCTCAAATCTGTCATCATTAAAGGGCCCTAATCTGTCCTCATTAAAGGGCTCAAATCTGTCATCATTAAAGGGCCCTAATCTGTCATAATTAAAGGGCCCTAATCTGTCATCATTAAAGGGCCCTAATCTGTGCTCATTAAAGGGACATAATCTGTCATAATTAAAGGGCCCTAATCTGTCCTCATTAAAGGGCCCTAATCTGTCATCATTAAAGGGCCCTAATCTGTCATAATTAAAGGGCCCTAATCTGTGCTCATTAAAGGGACATAATCTGTCATAATTAAAGGGCCCTAATGTGTCATAATTAAAGGGCCCTAATCTGTCATCATTAAAGGGCCCTAATCTGTCATAATTTAAGGGCCCAAATCTGTGCTCATTAAAGGGACCTAATCTGTCATAATTTAAGGGCCCTAATCTGTGCTCATTAAAGGGACCTAATCTGTCATCATTAAAGGGCCCTAATCTGTCATCATTAAAGGGCCCTAATCTGTCATCATTAAAGGGTCCTAATCTGTCATCATTAAAGGGCCCTAATCAGTCATCATTAATGGGCCCTAATCTGTCATCATTATAGGGCCCTAATCTGTCATCATTAGAGGGCCCTAATCTGTCATCATTATAGGGCCCTAATCTGTCATCATTAAAGGGCCCTAATCCGTCATCATTAAGGTGCCCTAATCTGTCATCATTAAAGGGCCCTAATCTGTCTTCATTAAAGGGCCCTAATTGGTCATCATTAAAGGGCCCTAATCTGTCATCATTAAAGGGCCCTAATCTGTCATCATTAAAGGGCCCTAATATGTCATCATTATAGGGCCCTAATCTGTGCTCATTAAAGGGACCTAATCTGTCATAATTTAAGGGCCCTAATCTGTGCTCATTAAAGGGACCTAATCTGTCATCATTAAAGGGCCCTAATCTGTCATCATTAAAGGGCCCTAATCCGTCATCATTAAAGGGCCCTAATCGGTCATCATTAAAGGGCCCTAATCTGTCATCATTAAAGGGCCCTAATCTGTCTTCATTAAAGGGCCCTAATCCGTCATCATTAAAGGGCCCTAATCTGTCATAATTAAAGGGCCCTAATCTGTGCTCATTAAAGGGACCTAATCTGTCATCATTAAAGGGCCCTAATCTGTCATCATTAAAGGGCCCTAATCTGTCATCATTAAAGGGTCCTAATCTGTCATCATTAAAGGGCCCTAATCAGTCATCATTAATGGGCCCTAATCTGTCATCATTATAGGGCCCTAATCTGTCATCATTAAAGGGCCCTAATCTGTCATCATTATAGGGCCCTAATCTGTCATCATTAAAGGGCCCTAATCCGTCATCATTAAAGTGCCCTAATCTGTCATCATTAAAGGGCCCTAATCTGTCATCATTATAGGGCCCTAATCTGTCATCATTAAAGGGCCCTAATCTGTCATCATTAAAGGGCCCTAATCTGTCATCATTAAAGGGCCCTAATCTGTCATAATTAAAGGGCCCTAATCTGTGCTCATTAAAGGGACCTAATCTGTCATCATTAAAGGGCCCTAATCTGTCATCATTAAAGGGCCCTAATCTGTCATCATTAAAGGGTCCTAATCTGTCATCATTAAAGGGCCCTAATCAGTCATCATTAATGGGCCCTAATCTGTCATCATTAAAGGGCCCTAATCTGTCATCATTAAAGGGCCCTAATCTGTCATCATTAAAGGGCCCTAATCTGTCATAATTAAAGGGCCCTAATCTGTGCTCATTAAAGGGACCTAATCTGTCATCATTAAAGGGCCCTAATCTGTCATCATTAAAGGGCCCTAATCTGTCATCATTAAAGGGTCCTAATCTGTCATCATTAAAGGGCCCTAATCAGTCATCATTAATGGGCCCTAATCTGTCATCATTATAGGGCCCTAATCTGTCATCATTAAAGTGCCCTAATCTGTCATCATTAAAGGGCCCTAATCTGTCATCATTATAGGGCCCTAATCTGTCATCATTAAAGGGCCCTAATCTGTCATCATTAAAGGGCCCTAATCGGTCATCATTAAAGGGCCCTAATCTGTCATCATTAAAGGGCCCTAATATGTCATCATTATAGGGCCCTAATCTGTCATAATAAAAAACTGCTCTTTTCCAATACTTCTTTTACTGATAACAGTCGTTCAGAGCTACTTGGTTTCCTCCAAGCACTCCGGTTTCCCCTACCACTAAAAACATGTGAAATCTGTCTGGCATGTGCCTCCTGTACTGGCCCCGCTCCATCTCTGTGTGGAGTGCCCAAAACTAACAATTGTAAACCGCTTTGTGACTCTGGTCTGTGAAAGGCGGTATATAAATAACGTTTACTTACTTAAAAAATGTCTCTTTCTGATTCTCAAATCATTAACGACAAAACCAAGAATATAACCAGGATTTCTATCTTTGTGAAAAAGGTGTTGGTTATAGATTTGTTGTTATCTGGCAACATTAGTCCGGTCCTCAGGTCTCTGCACTGGCTTCCTGTGGCTCAGAGAATAGACTTTAAAACAGCTCTGCTTGTTACAAGTCTCTCCATGGCCTCGCACCAAAATATATTAGTGACATGTTAGTCCCATATGAACCAGCCCGGACTCTGAGGAGCACAGGGACTGGACTCCTGCTGGGACTCTGAGGAGCACAGGGACTGGACTCCTGCTGGGACTCTGAGGAGCACAGGGACTGGACTCCTGCTGGGACTCTGAGGAGCACAGGGACTGGACTCCTGTTAGTGCCCAGAGTCAGAACTAAACATGGGGAGGCTGCTTTTCAGATTCATGCTGCTAAAATCTGGAACAATCTTCCTGAAGATGTGAGACAGGCCTCCTCTCTGACAATGTTTAAAACCAGGTTAAAGACAGTTCTGTTCAGCTGTGCTACAACTGAGGGATTCTATGTTTTTATCTTTCTTTTTAATGTTCTGTGATTATTTATGATTTTAATGCTATCTTGTTCAGCACTTTGAGTTGCCTTGTGTATGAATTGTGCTATAAAAATAAACTTGCCTTGCCTTGCATTGAGTCAGGGAGAGTGGGAGAGGCTGCAGTACCACTTTTGGCCAGATTTTATACATACTGCGCCTTTAATGAAAAAAAGTGCCAATAGACCGGATCAATTTCTTTCTAGTTAATTAGCACAATTACTCATGGCTATTCAAATTACTTTAAAAAAAAGAAAAAGAAAAAAAAAGTGCAATCAGCCATAGAGTCATCAAGTTTACTGCCAGATTGAGATTGACTCCGTGCATCTTTCCCAGTGATTTACTCAGTGTGAAAACATAAGAAGAAAATGCTCTTCTAATCATCTCATTGACATGGAAGTGGACGCACAAACCTCTGTGGCAGTTGCCTGGCAGCGATCAGATGGAATTAACACGACCGGCCTCAGAGTGTGCGTCTGTGTCGGGAGATGAAAGAACGCCAGTGCCCGCCACATGAAAGACATCTCTATACGCTCTGCATCCTGTTGTTCCCCCGTCACCATACGGCACATAAATTATACAACCACAATCATCCATGTCGAGGACAATCAATGTGTGCAATCGAAAGGGTTAGGCTTTCTTGTATGCATGTGTTGGATTTTTGATGGTGTTGTGTTGCCAATATTTTACCGTCATTTTCACTTTTTTTCCCCCGATAATGACAACGCCGATACTATTGTTATTTTTGTTCGTCCACCCATTTTCTTCCGCTTCATCCGTTGCCGGGTCGTGGGGCATCAGTCTAAGCAGAGACGGCCAGACTTCCGTACCCACACACACTTCCTCCAGCTCGTCCAGGGGGACCCCCAAGGTGTGTCCTGGGTCTTCCTCGGGGGGCCTCCTCCCAGTGGGACTCGCACTATAGTGGTCATAACATTTACAAATTCATAAAAACAAAAACTTTAAATACAGTGGTTCATATTGTTTTACTTTCACAGCAACATTTTGTATTTTTTGTATTTTGTGACATCCAATTGCGGCCTTTGTCACATTTAGAAAGGTTTCAATTTACAACATTTGAAAGTCTACATGGTCTAGATTGAGCAGATGTCACTGATATCTCTGCTCCGGCTTGTTAGTGTGTTCTCCATGAGAGCGTGTCCTCCAGCTGAAGCTCAGGTGCTGCACACGCTCTGTAATCAGGAAGCGTGATCTGGAGCCGCACAGAGCAGCGCTGGGCAAACACGGTCCTGATAAGACCGCGGGCGATCGCACAACCTCATCATTTACCACACAGCTCAGTCGCAGCGAGCCAACCACATCAACCTGAACAAACTGGAGCTACAGGCGGCTGAAGGTTCATCTGTTTACTCTGGTCTCAGGTTCCAAACAGCAGTGGCATCGGCCGCTGCTGTCACTGCCACAACAACAACAACTCAGTCCACAGAGCACCAGCCCCTCACTGATCCTCCTGCAGGTGCTGAGTCCACAGGAGCTGAGATCTTTCATCAGGAGCTTCAGGCAAAGTGTCTTGCCCAAGGACACAACGACAGCAGACATCAGTGGGAGTCATGAAGTAGGTCTTTTGGTGGCCTCGATCCACTGTTGCCCCCAGATTGTGATTATGTGATTTTGAGAGTAATTGAATAGATACATAGATAGATATTCTTTATTGATACCCGTAGAGAGATATTCAGGTGTCCAGTAGTGTGACAAAGCAGGTTACTTTGTCCCTTTAAATGCCACTTTCATGTCATTTATGTATTTTATACCTGTAGAAGAAATGTGTCCTTGTCAGCCATTTTGTGTTCTGTGGGCGGAGCCTCCCCATGTTAAAAGCTCACAGGTGAACTTCGTCAGGGGAGACACACCCAAGGGACAGGACTGTTGGTTGTGCTTGTGCAAAAATAAATCTTTTGTGCAACTTTGAATGACTTCTGCTGTCTCACTTTGACACTCGGGCTAGCTTCCCCACAAGTAGCAACACATAAAATTGATCATTTTAAAAAGCTAATAACAGTAATAATCAGCAACAGTCCTTCAGGTCACAGCAGCAGAGGTGGAGCTTGGTTCAGACCATTTTCTCTGCTCTGGTCCAAAGTCAAATGATAAATGCTTCATTAGCATTTTTCTAAAAGTTAGCATTCCTCCAGTCGATTTTTGCCTGATCTGCTTGTTTGGGACCATGAATCCTCCCTGCTCTGGTCTGGACCAGTGTAAAACCATGAATCCTCCCTGCTCTGGTCTGGACCAGTGTAAAACCATGAATCCTCTCTGCTCTGGTCTGGACCAGTGTAAAACCATGAATCCTCCCTGCTCTGGTCTGGACCAGTGTAAAACCATGAATCCTCTCTGCTCTGGTCTGGACCAGTGTAAAACCATGAATCCTCTCTGCTCTGGTCTGGACCAGTGTAAAACCATGAATCCTCCCTGCTCTGGTCTGGACCAGTGTAAAACCATGAATCCTCTCTGCTCAGGCAGAAAAAAGAAAGAAGAATAACTATTATAAAACACAAAACAACAAATGTTTCAGTTTGGACTCGCTGCATTTTTCCAGCGCATTAAAAAGAAAGAATGAAAAATAAATAAAAGTATAATACATTTGAAAAAGAACTACATCAGTGCGTTTCTTCATCAAATGAAAACAAATAAACATGTCAACAATAGGACCTTTAGAATCCAAAATATTGTACTGTAGATTTTGTCACAGTACAAACAGAGCATGTTTCGGTGCTAATTGTTCCCTACAGTCATTTCCTGAGTATGATCACTCGATATTCATGCTATATATATTGATATTAATACGATTCAACATGTCTATAGGGCATATGTTATTCAGATCCATGTGTTGTTTGTAAAGTGCTCTATGAATAAAGTTGAATTGAATGTTGTCCTCACAAAGCAGAGGGTTTGTTTTGAAAACCGTACTGTTTCTGTTAGTTTTACAAATTAGCATTCTTAGAAAATTGCTGTAGGGCACCATTAGCACCAAAACATGCTCTAAATATTAACGATCCATTCAGTATTAGAAGATTAAGAATGACTTCATCATGGGAGACTTAATAATAATGCATTGGTTTTATATAGCGCTTTTCTGGACACTCAAAGATGCTTCACACATCCAAACACGGTGGTGATAAACTACTACTCTAGCCACAGCTGCCCTGGGGCACACTGACAGAAGCGAGGCAACCAGTCTGTGCCACCGACCACCACCAACCATTCACACACACACACTAGACTCATTCTAGGCAATGGGGGTGAAGTGTCTTGCCTAAGGACACAACGGCAGTAGTCTGTGGGAGTCGATGGTGAAAGGCCTGAGCGGGGCTTGAACCCACGACCTTCTGGCTCAAAGGCCAACGCTCTACCAACTGAGCTACTGCCGCCCCTAAGACTTAATTATTAACCAGCTGGGAAAACAATCAGAAGCGCTGGACACATGAACTGCGGATCTAAAATACTCCGACCTGATCCCAAAAATCTGAAAACAACATCTAAATTTAGACAATAAATCACTGTGGACGTTTTGTCCACGTTTGTAATTCAAAACACCGATTTGCATTCCCAGTTAGACCAGGGGTAGAATATGGATCAAGTGTGACATCTAGTGGTGAACACAGGTGCCTGCAACATGAAGGAAAATTTAGCAAAACTCAGGCCTAGACTATTTATGGTTTATTGTAGGCTTTAATAAAAATCTGGGACAAGGGCGACAGTAGCACAGTTGGTAGAGCATTGGTCTTTGAGCCTGAAGGTTGCGGGTTCGAGCCCACCTCAAGACACCTCACTGACCCCCACTGATGTCTGCTGTCGTTGTGTCCTTGGCAAGACACTTAACCTCTGGGAACAGCAGGTGCCACAGTGCGGCGGCTGCGGCTGTAAAGTGCCAAACTGCTGTTGTGTCCTTAGGCAAGACACTTCCCCCACATTAGAATGAGTCTGGTGTGTGTGTGAATGGTTGGTGGTGGTGGGAGGGGCTGATTGCACAGACTGGTTGCCTCGCTTCTGTCAGAGTGCCCCGGGGCAGCTGTGGCTACAGTAGTAGTTTATCACTGAATAATGACAAATGAAGCGTCTTTGAGTGTCCAAAAAGCGCTATATAAAAACAGATGCATTATTATTATTATGATGAAAAGGCAATTGGTAAAGTGGGATAATTACAGCTGCATGGATCCTTTTGAGTTTGTGGAAGGATCCCTCTCCCCTTAATATCAGAAAGTGGAAAGATAACAGATTTAGAATAGTTTCATATGAAAAACTTAAGCGTATAAGAAATGATAACGGATACTTTCATTGAATCTTGGGGCCTGAGAGTTGAGTCATTATAAAGGGGAGGAATACAGGCTGCTCTTTCTTTACACCTCTGTTCAGCATATTTTTTTCATGTATATCATGTGCATACTTTTTTTTGTTCTGTTTTTATTGTACGTATAAGCCCCATAGTCTATGTGGGTTTGGAAATGTAAGGACTACTGCTCTTGTAAGTGTTAAAAGCAAATACAAATCTGAATTACACAAAAAACAGGCAATTGGTATCACATTAGTGTCATTTATGAAGAGATGTATTCTCTCTTCAAAGTGTAAGCATTCACTGAATCAGATTTAGAATCATGTGTGTACAATATCTGACAGAAATGGGACATGATAATATATTCAATCATTTTTTTTCTCCAGTTGAACTACTCATTATTTCTGTTGGTCAAAGTAAGTAAGTAATATTTATCTATATACCGCGATTCACAGACCAGAGTCAACGCGGTTTACAATTGTGGGAATTTGTCTCTCACGCCACAGAGATCGGGGAGCGGGGCCAGTACAGGAGACACATGCCAGACCTATTGAGTTTACTCTTACTTAGAAAAATGTTATCGGCCCCACAGACAAAAAAAAAAAAATAATCCAGATTTTTTTACAAGCTACAGCCTTCAAAATAGAGGTAAGAAAGTTTAGGTTAAGGTGTGTGTGTGTGTGTGTGTGTGTGTGTGTGTGTGTGTGTGTATGTGTGTACACTGTCTGTCTGTGTACAAATATAACATAATACTAAATATATTTTGTTATCCATAAGGCAGTGGGTTAAAAAGAGATGAATTTTATTTTCAAACAAACAAACATACAAAAAAATGTCATATCCCAAAACCAACATAATTATACGATTATCAGATTTCTATATAAAAAGCCACAAACAAAGACACTTTATCATGTTGTCAGAGTATTAGCCGGACTGCCAAGAGCTGCAAGCCTGGTCACCTTAAATCCTGAGTAAAACCTAATCCATAATCCCAGTGGCCTTTCATTGGCTGTCGTTATTCCATGTGTAGAGACTGTCCCACGACACAGAGGTCCGGGTGCGAGGCGGACCGTAGTGTGGCCCGGAGCTCGGACTGGCTTCCCCATAAACCATCCTCTCCCACTGGGTCGTCATCCAGCCTAAAAACACAAGTGTGAGAGTTTGGGGCGTAAGCAAAGACGGTCATACCATCACGAGTACAACATTGTGATTTAAGTAAGTAATGTTTATTTATACAGCGCATTTTACAGACCAAGGTTCACCCAAAGCACTTTACAATTGTTCAGAGGGTTCAGATATTGTTCCATGCCCTCCACACGGTGATGACGGAAGCGAGACCCAAACATACTGGATCATCAAAGCCCCCATCAACACTCTACATTCACTCACTCATTACATTCATACCTATTGTGTGCATGTTTTTAGTGGTAGGGGAAATCGGAGCACCCGGAGGAAACCCACGCAGACACGGGAAGAGCAGGCAAACTTCACTCAGAAAGGCAATTGTAAGACTATCATATAAAATTGCAGTACCATAATACCATAATATTAAGCAATACCGTATGTGACCGTAGCACTTACCCTGGTGAATATATCATAGGCTCGCTGCCACAGGTCTCTGCGTAGGAAACGGACGGAGACTGAGGAGGCTGGTGTAGACTTGACCTTCTGTCTGACTGCGTTCTTCTGATCAAGCCTCGAGTCCGGTGATCTTTTGTAGGGAGACGTCCTGGACCGCCCCACATGCGAGAGAGCAAAGACACCTTGGAAGACGTCCACGCTTCGGGAGGACTGGGCACAGGACACGGTAACGCTTTGAACAGTTTTGGAGAAGCGGGGCAGAACACCGAGCGGGCGTTGTTGGGCATTTGCCGTGATACATCTTCTCTGCTGTTTTGTCTGGACCATCTGTGTAGTTTTGGAGAGGCAGGGGGTGACGGAGCTTTAAAGGGGTAAGATTGAAGGGTGGGGTTGATTGAGTTGCTTGGCGTGTTTTGCTTGGGTGTGCTGGGGAGTCTTCTCTGAAAAGTTGAGTTGGAAGGAGTGCTGGCTGTTGAAGAAGAACTGCTGGAAGAGGTTGGCGATGGCTGTCTCCTCAGATTGCCGGGACTCGGAAGTCTTCTATGTAAAAGGCTTGGGGTTGAGGGGGTTGAGGGTAGCATCCGTGACTTTGATGCGGATGGACTGCTTGGTGGCTGACTTCTGATTGAGGCTGAAGTAGTCACCGCAAACCCTGCAGAGTGTGGCCCAGATACTACACCAACAGGGCTGTCTTTAATTTCAGTGGATTTCTCTCTGATGTTAGAAGATTCTGACAAAACACAACCGGGTGTTTTCTCTGCGTGCGAACTTCTGAGGTTAATAATCCCTCTGGCTTGTTGGTAGAGTGGGTTGTGATCTTTTTCTGGGGGCTGAGGTTGGTTGTGTTTTGATAGTGTAGGTGTCTCTTCTCTGTTCACTTTAATAGACTTACTTTTAGACGCTGAGAGCACACCTCCTTTGCTCGGCAGGACAGTTGCAGGCTGCACTGACGCCTTTAGCCGCTGTGATAGCATGGCTCTTTTTGGCATTGTCGATACGGTGACTTTACTGACGCTGTCCTCGGGAAATCCGGCTGACATACTTTTAGCACATTCAAAGGACTTGTCCATTAAAACCTCTATAGGGGGTGGAGGCAGGTTATCCAGATCCAGAAAGTCTGTTTTTTCCAATTCGGGCTCCGTTCTACAGCTGGTGATCCCACTGCTAAGTACAGCCTCGACATTACCTAGACCAGGCATGACAGGAACACCACATTTTTTCACTCCTCTCAGAGGGCCCAGGACTATAGGCCCCTCTCGTTCTTCTGCACCTTGGCTAAATGTGTCAATCAGTTTTTTCACAGAGTTTCGACCGCGGCACAGCCTTGAGGAAGGTCTGGGAGACGATGGGGGAGTGGGATGGGTGCTATTTTTTATTAAGCCATTAGTAATATCTAACGCCTCAATAATAGAAGTTTCTCCATCTTGTTCTGAATTTTCTTCCTGTTTTTTCTGTGTCTTTTCTGCAGGGGCTACTTTATTGCCTTCAATGTTCTTCTCCAGGGATTGACTTTTCCTTGTTCGTTTTGGGGACTGTATAATTGGGGCTCTTTGATGAAGCTTTGCTGTAGACGTTTTATTATTAGGCACATTTTTATTCTTTGACATTTTTTGCAACTTTTGGTTTAAATCCTTTTGAGTCCTTTCAAGTTCCAGTAAAGTAGGATCCTCGCCTCGACTCTTTAGTGACTCTGCTGACTGAGATCGACGTGCTTTGGCCCCTGCAGCCTTTTTTACCACAGATTTAGCTGTTTGAGGCCTTTTAGGAGTTTGCTCTTTATCTTCTGTCCACTGTTGTCTGGTCCTTTTTGGGCTGTCGGCTGGCTTTGATTTCTCAAACTGTATTCTACCACTGATGGCATTTTTCATCTTAAGTGTCATTTCCATATTTTGAGGATTTTCTATTCTTCTTGGAGGTAATCGTCTGGGATGGTTACGGTCTACAGATGTGGAGCGTGGTCTATATTTACATTTGCCTTTTATTCCTTCATCTACCTCATCATCCTCACCCGAGAATGATCCTAATAATGAATCTTGTTCATTAGCCAAGATGGTGCATGCAGAATCTAGAGAGTTAAGTGATGTCAAAGAAATACTTGGACTTATCTGATTCATAAACATTTGTCTTGAATATCTCTGTCCTCTGGGAAAAGAGTTGCGTCTCATTGGGCTGGCTGACATTGTCCTGTTGGTCCCAGTGGACCCACAGCTCCCGGGTCTATGCTGCTTGTCAGATCCAGCCAGAGACTCGCTCTCTCCTCCAATACCACTGTCCTCACTGAACAGAGCTGAGTCCTCAGGCCCAGGCTTTCGCAGAGAAGCCATTTCTATGCGACATAAAAGATGCATTAACCTTCTCTCTACTGCTTGTTTGGTCTTTAGTTTCTCCTCTAAAAGCTCAGAAACTGAAGTGAAATATACCACAGCTTCTTCTAAAGCAGTGTCCCCCAGCTGACTCACACTGTGGCTCACGTTACGCATTCTCTGTGTAGTGTACTGAAGCAGCTGCTGGAGGAGGTCTGGAGGAGGCTCGCCATCAGCAGGGCCACACTTTGCAGCTGAGGATGAGAGGTTCTTCATTTGACTGGGCCAGGCCAGATGTTCCCCATATTCTTTAAACACCTTTTCACCTTCCTCTGCTATTTCGTCTAATTCCTGAATTATTTCATCATACCGCAAAGCCATAAAGGCCACCATAGGCTGTAAAAGTACATGGGTCTGTGTAGCTTGTTCCAAAAATTCAATCAAGGAGTCATATTTAACTATACTTGGATTCAAAAAGGCATATGCCCCTTGGTGAGCTCTCACTAAAGGTTCTGGGAAGTCCACCTTCTGATCACTGCAGAAAGTGTCTGTCTCCTTCTCTTTCTTTTTTAAAATCTTTGCACTTCTGTTGTTTTTCTTTGCTTTTTTACTTAACTTTTTGTCAGTTGTCTTTTCTGTTGTTCTCTCATTCCTCTGGCTCAGTCTGTCATTTTCCTGTCCTTGAATCTTGACTATATCCATGTTGGTTGTTTCATGGGTCAGATCAGGCACACACTTCTTCTGTGAGGGAAAGTGTACATTGTTTAGAGAATCCTGATTGTGTCCAGTGGTTATCCTCTCTTTTGAAACCGGATCTGATGTCGCTGGGAAATTACAGCTTGCTCCATCTTCAGTTAGTCTTTCTCTGGGACTCTGTCCAGGCGGAGGAGGCAGCATTCGACTTTTCCTCAATGGGCCAAAAGCCCCAAAATGATTACCTTTGGAAGGTGCACAGCCCATTGTGATATTGTTGAGATGAATCTCTTCTGAATGTTGTTAATGCAGCATAGAATGAAACACGGAGAAGGACTCACAGCCTGGGTCCTTAGCCACCTGCTAGATCTGTCATATTCAGATGGCCTGGATTGACTGGGCTGATAAGATCTCTGTCCACAAGTGATAAAAAAGGCAAGTTAAAAAAACATGCAAGGAAATCCATTTCATAAATTCCATCCAAAAGAAATGTCCAGGTAAAATACAAAAGTGACTTTTAAAACATGGCAACATATGCACCAGTAAACCTCACGTAAGGACAAAGAGCTGATAGGATTAGCAGGGCTTTGAGTGAACTCCTCTGTCTGCGCATGTCACTAAGGACCATCAAACCACCTATAATTAGAACAGCTTAAGCTAATTTAGCTCTCAGCTTTTTTTAGATTATAAATTTTCTACCTGCGGTCATTAATGCACGGGACATAAGGAACTGTACAGGTTAATTTTAATTAACATTAATTGATTAATGTTTTTGTTTTTTTTGACATTGGAATGAACGCGGCAGCGCCACCGTGTGGCTTACGTTACGTTACGTTACGTTACGTTACGTACGTGACGTTATGATTGGCGCGGATCCTTCGTCCAACTTTGTAAGTTGTTAAAAAAAGGTAAAAATGTATGACATAATAAGTCTGGCTAACATAAAACATTATTTACAATAACAATAATAACTTCTAACTGCGGAGTTGCTCTTGTTGCCTCAAAATGATAGTTTTATAGTTAGCTTGGTATGAGCTAACTTCTCCTGAACTTATTAAACACAAAGCTACGCTACGCTGTATTATCTGATGTTTCCAAAACATGAATAGGACTTATTTACATATTATAATACATCCAGGGCTGTAATGTGTATTTAATTTTCACATATATACAATATTTACATGAAAAGACTTCTTATTTCGACGAGAAGACAAGTTCTGCTGTAATATGTGTTTGTGTTCGCAGTTCTGAGCTGAGGCGTCAGGATGAAGCAGAGAATGCCATGCCAGACTCCCCCTTCTGTGACTGTCAGGGTGAGATCCAACACCAGCAGCTGTCTCCAGACCCACAGAGGTCTCCAGACCCAACGAGATCTCCAGACCCAACGAGATCTCCAGACCCACAGAGGTCTCCAGACCCACAGAGGTCTCAGACTCAAACGGCCGAGTGCTGAATGTGTTCTGGGTCCACCAGGAAAGAACCAGCCAAGCCACACTAATGGCAAATACTTTGTTCAAGTGGTTCAATCTCCAACTATACTAATCCAGCGCCAAGAAATGGCATCATACTTTAAGTTATTTGGTAAGTTATGTCTTCATGTCTGTTAATCCAAATGAAAAGAAAGTATATAACATGTATATTACATGATTACAGAGGATGACTTGATCCAGGACTTTTTGTGGATGGACTGTTGCTGTAAAATGTCAGATAAGGTAATATAAAAGCTCCAGGCTCCTTTGTGTTTCTTTCCAGCCCATGTTTACATAAACCGTTTTTCATTAGTATCTTTTAGCCATGGCCTTTGTGTATTTCAAAAGAGCGTGTTTCTCTCTTTCTGAATACACAAGAAAGAATTTCTTCATGGCTTTGTAAGTATTATCAAACATTGTGCTTTGTGGATCCTTTTTTATGTATTGACTTTGAATATTGTTGCGTGTAAAGGTATCTTGCGAACACAATGGAGGAGGATGAAGAGGAGAACAAATATGAGATTTTTCCTTGGGCTCTGGGCAAGAAGTGGAGGAAACATTTCCCGCGCTTTTTGAAGCAGCGAGACAAGCTTTGGGCTCGTGTTGAGTACAGAGCTGCTGTCAGCCGGCGATGCTGTGAAGAGGTACAGTTGATTGAGTGGTGGATATACATGGCAAGGCAAGTTTATTTGTATAGCACTATTCATACACAAGGCAGCATTAACAATAAGGCAAAATCATGAATAATCAGTGCATTAAAAATAAAGATACAGATTTAGTGTCTACTTTTTCTTGAAATGTTTTCCTATTGGATTGTTTTTTGTTTTGTATGACCTGCTCAAATAAATTGATTGATTGATTTAAATACTTCAATTGTAGCACAAAGAAACAGAACTGATTTTCACCTGGATTTGAACATTGTCAGAGAAGAAGCCCGTCTCACATTTTCAAGATTGTTCCAGATTTACGGCTTCATGAATCTGAAATGCCGCCTCTCCATGTTTAGTTCTGACTCTGGGACCAGCAGGAGTCTCGTCCCTGTGCTCCTCAGAGTCCCAGCAGGAGGCCAGTCCCTGTGCTCCTCAGAGTCCCAGCAGGAGGCCAGTCCCTGTGCTCCTCAGAGTCCCAGCAGGAGGCCAGTCCCTGTGCTCCTCAGAGTCCCAGCAGGAGGCCAGTCCCTGTGCTCCTCAGAGTCCCAGCAGGAGTCCAGTCCCTGTGCTCCTCAAAGTCCCAGCAGGAGGCCAGTCCCTGTGCTCCTCTTAGTCCCAGCAGGAAGCCAGTCCCTGTGCTCCTCTGAGTCCGAGTTGGTTCATATGGGACTAACACGTCACGTCATGTATGTTATTGAAATGTTAACTTGCTCCTTTCTCTCGTTCAGGTCATGGCCATTGTGCCTCGTCACTCTCTGTGGCAGAGAGAGCGCTCCGAGCACCACAGCGGGGCACGACGACAGTACGGTCACAAAGATCACACTCCGACACCTCGTGGCCCCGCTTCCTCTCCAGTCTCCTGTACATTCTGCAGTCACAACATCAAACTGGACCAAAGCCTGGGTTCAGTCTCACCTCAAAACGCAGCCCAAATACCGAAGAAGTCCACTCTGGTCCCTGTGGCTCCCTCGCTGAGACTGGAGAAGACCCCTGTTCCGGTGGCCGCTCCTCTGCAGAGACTGGACTGTCGCATCAGCGAGTCACCTCCATGTTACTTTATGACTAAAGCTTGTGGTAAGTATTTGAAGTTAAAGTAGCAATATGTAAGATTTTCATGTTAAGGCATCATTAAAAAGGCCCTAATCTGTCAAAAGGCATAAAAAAACATGCTCTTTTCCAATACTTCTTTAACTGATAGCAGTAGTTCAGCCGAGATTTTTTTATTTCAAAATTGGTTTTCCAGCCCCGAAATCTGGTTATTGTTTTCATTTCGATGTCCCGCCTTCCACAGTTTCACCAATCAGAAAGTCTGTGATCCGGGCGCCAGAACTCACCGTGTGGAGCTAATCTCACTGGTAAAGTACCATGTGGCACAGAACTAAAAAAAGGTCTCGTTATGATTCTCAAATCATTAACGACAAAACAAGGAATAAAACCAGGATTTCTATCTTTGTGAAAAAGGTGTTGGTTATAGATTTGTTGTTGACTAAACTCTTGTCTATTCAGCTGTTATGGTCCCAGCTGGATTCGTCTGCATATCTGGCAACCTGAGTCAGGGAGAGTTTTTTACAAACTGCTCCTTTAAAGTATCAGAAGATAACAATAACCTAAAGCATTCCCCTCTTTCTCATGACTTTCTAGAAGCTGACCTGCCACACAGGCCTTTACACGACTCCTCCATGGACTGGATCAGTGAAGAGTAGAGCCCTGCGTCCTCTCAGGAGCTGCACATCAGTTTTGGGATCTGCTGTTTTGGAATAACTCGGCATTGAGCACCGAAAATCTAAATGTTAAAAGTTGTACGTGTGATGACAGATTTATGCGTTTTATCGATACAGCTCAGTTGTGCTGGGTTCTATTTATTATTTTTATGTTGGTAAATGTATTTATTTATTATATGCACTTTTGTCACATTAACACACAGTATTAAAATATGTTCTAAATAAAGTCATGATCAAACTGGGTGCATGCATTTCTCTCAGCTTTGTTTCTCGTTCTGAGCAGATCTAGAAATACATTTACAGTAGATAAACAAGGGTTCATTCTTTGGCGTGTTGCAGCTTCTTCTTGTTTACAGGCTGTTAGGTATGTTTCCTCAGTTTTACCAGGAATGCTGAGAATACAAAGAAAAGCATTAATAATAATATAAATAAATAACGCATTCGTTTTTTACAGTGCATTTCAGGACACTCAAAGTCTCTTCACATGTAACTCACTCCAAACACGGCGGTGATAAACACAGCTGCCTTGGGGCACACTGACAGAAGCGACGCAACCAGTCTGTGCCATCAGCCCCTCCCACCACCACCACCAACCATTCACACACACACCAGACTCATTCTAATGTGGGGGAAGTGTCATGCCTAAGGACACAACCACAATTGGGCACTTTACAGCCGCCCCACTGTGAGACCTGCTGTTCCCAGAGGTCTCCCATCACAGGACTAACCATACCCTGCATTGCTTAGCCCCAGAGGTCTGACGGAATCTGTCTTTTACATGCAGGTATGGCCACTAATAATCAATAATTCTAACTAATACTTTTGCGCAACTGTCTTTACACCGGTACAAACCTGTATGGCTCAGTTGTTGAGGGTGAGGTCTGGCAATGTAAGGAACACTCCCAAAAGGTGCTTCTTTTTCTGCATTTGAGAAAAAAAGGGAACAAAATCAGCACAAATGAGCACACTGTGGCATATACACTTGGGGTAACTCAGTGGTGCCTAAAGTGGGGGGCGCGGGACGAATGGATGAAGAAAATGACGAGAATACAGCAGGCTAAATGACACTGCTAACATACGATTTTTGACATATGTTTGGGAATCATTGGGTTAAAACTGCTCCAATAGTAGCCGATATGTCATGCTTCCAATCACCGCTTTTTTCTTCCGAGTTTTCTTCCGCATTTGGAGACTTCCTTGAGCAGTAGGAGCCATCTTTGTGGAGAGCCGGAGCCACGATCCAGTCTCGGGCCGGGAGCTCCACGATGCGCTCACACAGAAGAGGGATGTGCAGACAGCGAAGTCCTTCCAGTAAATCCACCACCTGAGTTATGCTGAAACGGTTTGTAAAGAAATGTTTACGACTATAGGAAAATGCTTAAACTTTTTGTACATTTTTTTGTTTTGCCACACACTTTGCGAGGTAGACGGCACACACAGCCCCAGAATGAAGGTATCGGTTCACAGTGGGTAAAACTAGATGAGGATGTATGAGGTCAAGAGCCACCTAGAAAAAAGAATCAAAGTATTGTATTGGAACAGAACAGATACAATATTTGCAGTTCATTCACAATAAGTTACATGTCAATGCACTTGATTTAAAAAATAATAATAAAATACATATTTATTCTCATGTATAGTGGGAGACTACCCCAGTGCAAGAAGGAGCGCTGTCAGACTGTACAATAAGTCACTTTTAAGACACTAATGCCCTGCACTAGCACTGAAGAACCAGCACTGCTATCGTTATCTCCTACACAGACTATATTTTTAACCTTTAACATGTTTCACACTTGTCTTCTGCATAAATCTGAGTGATTCTGTCTGTGCCAAATGTGACGTGTACGTTTCTCCAGTGTGAGATTAATAAAGTTTATCTTATCTTATCTTAAACATGATACTGTGTGTGTGTGTGTGTGTGTGTGTGTGTGTGTGTGTGTGTGTGTGTGTGTGTGTGTGTGTGCGACTGTGCCGAGTGTTCAAGTGTGAAACCCCATACTGGTGCGTGTATCGCTAAAAAAAAATTATGTTTAAATGAGCTGTGCCAAGTTGTGTTTATAATGAAGCTAACTGTGTCAACATGCTGCAGGCTGTTAAAGAATGTGCTGTTATAGCTCTATCAAACCAGTGTTTTCTAAGGCTGGGGAACTAGTGAAGAGGAGAAATGATGTGTTTCCCAACAAAAAAAGGGCGGCACGGTGGCTGAGTGGATAGCACTCTCGCCTCTCAGCAAAAAGGTCCTGGGTTCGAATCCCGGTCGGACCAGGGCCTTTCTGAGTGGAGTTTGCATGTTCTCCCTGTGTCTGCGTAGGTTTCCTCCGGGTACTCCGGTTTCCCCTACCACTAAAAATATGTACAATAGTTCTGGCATGCGCCTCCTGTTCGGCGACCCCGCTCCCATCTCTGTGTGGAGTGAGAGACAAATGCCCATAAAATAACAATTGTAAACCGCTTTGAGACTCAGATCTGCAGTGAAAAGGCGGTATATAAATAAAGATTACTACTAAAAATGTATGAATTACTACATTTTTATTGTTTTACTTCATATGATTGAACACAAAATCCCATACATAACTTAAGACATTTTACTCTGAATATTATTCGAGACTAATATTTTACAAGCTAACTCATTTGGTTTGCAGCATGAATTTCAATCATATTGTTTACCTGCTATGATTTAACATCAACAGCAGAGGTCGCTATTGAGTCCAAAACACAGGCCAAAACACGCATCATCATTCCATAACTATTGTATAAAACTGTTTTTTTTTTCTAAATCCCATTGGTACTAACATGAAAATCGCCGACATGACGATTTTCTCATTTTGTTTTCTCTCGAGTCGTGAGATCTGAACACATTTTACAAACCGCATGAAATCCTCGCCCCTCCAGGACTGGGCTGTTACAGAGGTCTGCTTGCACAAACTCCACATTATCCGGCCACGGCTGCTCTCGCCGCAGCTCCCATGAAGTCCTCCACCGGCTGTAGTTCAGAACCGCTCTTCTCAGGTGGTCCTCCCTCACCTCCACACTCACTACTCTGCCGCTTGCTCCAACTGGAAAATACAAAACAGAAACCGCCATGGAGAGAGACAGAGAGAGATTTGTTTTATTATTTGAGGCATGATCTAATAATAATAATAATAATGCATCGGTTTTATATAGCGCTTTTTTGGACACTCAAAGACGCTTCACATGTGTCATTATTCATTCACTCCATACACGGTGGTGATAAACCACTAATGTAGCCACAGCTGCCCTGGGGCACACTGACAGAAGCGAGGCAACCAGTCTGTGCCATCGGCCCCTCCCACCACCACCAACCATTCACACACACACCAGACTCATTCTAGGCAATGGGGGTTAAATGTCTTGCCTAAGGACACAACAACAGCCGCAGCCGCCCCACTGTGGCTGGTGTTCCCAGAGGTTAAGTGTCTTGCCCAAGGACACAACGACAGTAGTCAGTGGGAGTCGATGGTGAAAGTCCTGAGCGGGGCTTGAACCCACGACCTTCTGGCTCAAAGGCCAACGCTCTACCAACTGAGCTACTGCCACCCTATGCTTCTATTCTCAAGACAGAAATGAATGCAAGGCCGACAGGTAAAGATCCCTGAGGTCCCGAACAGCTGAGAAGATGATCTAGAAATGTTCATTATTTTGATTTTATATGAATAGAATGAGAGGAGAATGTCTGCTGTGCTGTTGACAGTTGCAGCGCTGACAGTTTTAGAGAGAGAGTGCAAAAGAGCAGCAAGAAATTCCTTTAAAAGTATTTCCTTTATAAGTTACAAGAGTTACTGCACAAACTAACAGGCCTATGGCTCATCCCAGAGGTCATTTAACTGATTTTAATTGTATTCTGCAATTGGCACAAAGCTTATTATCAGTCTCCCTACATGAAATAGTCCCCCTAGTGTGGAATGACACACTAATTTGTTTTTGTATTGCCCTAAATCACAATATTAGTCGTCCCGGAGGAGTTTATCATGATTTATGATCGTGATTTATACCAAAATAGATTAAAGAAGAATGAGAGGAACATTAGCTGTGAGCTTCCTGTTCTGGAGGTTCTTTATAAATCCAGACTTTTAAACAAAGCTCTTAGGATTGTTAATGACTCTTCTGGCCACCCTGGGAAAGCCATGTTCCAGCTTCTTCCCTCTGGCAGAAGATATCGCTCTCTGAGATGCAGGACATCTTGTTACGCTAACAGTTTTTATCCACAGGCTGTTATCAGTGTGAACAGAGCACTTTAATGATTTGCACTTGTTTTGAAACTGTTTTAGTCGATCGATTTCTCAGTGACATTTGTTTACTGTTTTATTTGTTTTATTTCTGTCTTTTATTGTCTGTATTTGTCTGTGCACACTGGAGACTTCTGCTAATGTATTCCAATGTGGTGTTTTTACTGCAAATGGCAAATAAACTGAATCTGAATCTGAATTATAGTTGGAGCTTAAATGTATTTTTCTCAGTTGTTCACAAATAAATAAATGTATGAACGATGTAGTTTTCTGTACATTCTCAGTCGTACAGGGATTATTCAAAACTGAGCTACAACATCACCCGTACACCCGTACGACGATTTGTTCTTAATCCAGAGAAACGAAAAACGTCCGAAAACCTGCCAACTGAAGAACAGACGACGGGTGAGAAACTGTTCTTTGTTATGTGCTTTTTAGTCTCTCCATGGCCTCGCACCAAAATATATTAGTGACATGTTAGTCCCATATGAACCAGCCCGGACTCTGAGGAGCACAGGGACTGGCCTCCTGCTGGGACTCTGAGGAGCACAGGGACTGGCCTCCTGCTGGGACTCTGAGGAGCACAGGGACTGGCCTCCTGCTGGGACTCTGAGGAGCACAGGGACTGGACTCCTGCTGGGACTCTGAGGAGCACAGGGACTGGACTCCTGCTGGGACTCTGAGGAGCACAGGGACTGGACTCCTGCTGGGACTCTGAGGAGCACAGGGACTGGACTCCTGCTGGGACTCTGAGGAGCACAGGGACTGGCCTCCTGCTGGGACTCTGAGGAGCACAGGGACTGGCCTCCTGCTGGGACTCTGAGGAGCACAGGGACTGGCCTCCTGCTGGGACTCTGAGGAGCACAGGGACTGGCCTCCTGTTAGTGCCCAGAGTCAGAACTAAACATGGGGAGGCTGCTTTTCAGATTCATGCTGCTAAAATCTGGAACAATCTTCCTGAAGATGTGAGACAGGCCTCCTCTCTGACAATGTTTAAAACCAGGTTAAAGACAGTTCTGTTTAGCTGTGCTACAACTGAGGGATTTTATATTTTTATCTTTCGTTTTAATGTTCTGTGATTATTTATGATTTTAATGCTTTCTTGTTCAGCACTTTGAGTTGCCTTGTGTATGAATTGTGCTATACAAATAAACTTGCCTTGCCTTGCCTAGTGATTCAAAACTTCACCTGCACGAGACAGAAACAGTGACATGGCTCCTGATCCAGACCCAGCTTCCAGAACACAGTCTCCCTCTGAGACATCCATCATCATGAGCATAGCAGCTGCGTCCTGATACAACGCCACAAAGATATAGACAGAAATAAACAGGAGAAAGGGCATAGAACCATATTAGAAAAGGAAACAAACCCCAAACCCACCTTAGGGTAGGAAATGGCAGGCCCTCTTCTCATAAACAACACATAATCTTCTAGACTAGCGCGTCGTATAAGGATTGAGACGCCCCGGTTGGTGTTCAGGAAGCTCCCTGCGGACATCCCAGCGATCTCCTCATGTGGGATCACACCCCAGCTGCTCTGGAGCCGCATCCCGAGATGGAGCATGAACATTTTCTTGAACTCTACCTGGCCTTTTTTACGATACTCAGCAACAAGGAACTCCCCAAACTTTAGCCGAGTTTCCCCTTTAAGACATGGATGATGTAAAGGTTCACTTTCTTCAGTTCTCTCTGGGGATAGGTGATCAGATGATGTGGCATTGTCCATTTCATTGTCTTCACAAATGTCAGTATGATTATGTTTTTCTTGTACGAAGTCTGTTGCTGTATAATCCATCATCCTGTGGTCGTCAAATTCATGCTGTTTTTTATCTTGTTGTCTGAGTTCTTCCACCTCTGGGGTCAAACTGTCTGTGTTCAGGAGGCTGCTAATTCTTTCCAAAGGGGATAGTGGTCTCTTTTTTCCAAGCAAGGTTTTTCTAGAAATCAACTTGTTAGAGATTGGAGAATTTGGGTCATCAATGTCCACACACAACATGGTGCCCGTTGAGAAAAACCTTCTCTTTTCTAAATTATGATGAACTTTTAAAAACGTATTGATGTTGCTGTGATGACATGATACACACATCTTTAAGAATCTGTGTATGGACAGTAATCTGCGTGGCATTTTAGCCATTAGTCTAATCATAAAGCTACGTACTATTTATTTTATACTTTCATTACCGTAATCTCTTCTTCTCTCCTATACTGTGCATCCATGTCATAGATGTTTTATAAGATCCATCTACAGTCACAATGCCCTCTCCGTAAACCATAGAACACATGTACCATACGTCATCACAAAGCGACACATGCAGTGGTTAAATTATTTCAGCAGGTGGCGAAATTTTTCGGTTACTATTTACCAGTCAAAATATTATATAATATTTTAAATTTCCAGTTCCACTGTTCAAACTTTAAACAATGTTTATCCATGTCAAGGGGAAGTTATTGTGTATTTTTTACTAATTAATATTGATATTCACGAACATTTGTTTTTTACTTGTTTTCTATTCAAGTAGTATTTTTTCGGATATTTTGGGATATTTATTGTTCACGGGCCTCACACAACACGGAACTATATTGGAACACAAGAAAAATCAATTCACAGTCCATCATTTCATTATATTTGCATTTTCTTTCATACACAAATGTACATTTTAAACTATGTAGTTCCAAGGACTCTTTAAATCTTTGCAAGTCTAAGAAAGTCTAAGAAATGACTTCATAACGATAGGATACGAATGTCTTTCGGCCCCACTGTGCATTGATGACGTTGGCTCTTTGTATTTTTTTGTTCTATATTGGAGATAGGCTTGTATGCATCGTTTGTCAATAAAAAATGAACAATTTTTTTGTTATTGTGTTGAGTGTAAGAAATAGTACCATAGACTATAGAAAATAATAATACGGGTAAATAATAATAATATCTGAACATGTTGGTATGTTGTGAGTTTTGTACGGTGCTGTCAGCTGCCTGCAGTTCCACTATACTCCAGTAGGGGGGGGGGGTGGTCTGAGGGAGAAACTGCTGCACGTGTTGGTGCCACGTGACGCACTGCGCAGTCGCACTCAGCGCTACAGAAATGGCGTCCGATGGTGGCAGCTCCACATTGCAGCTACCCTGCGTTTTCTCACCTAAATCACGGCAATACTTAGCTCTATGTGCCCAGGATGGCAGACTTCGCGTTTGGAACACAGACAACAAAACACTTCAGCAGGAATACGTGCCTTCAGCCCATTTGAGTGCCACTTGTACGTGTATATCGTGGGGACCATGCCGGACTGCCAAGGTACGCGCTGAAGCTATAGTTTAGCATCGGAAGCCAGCGGCCCTCAGAAAAACTCTATAATTTTAGGCTTTTTATTATTTGCTGAAGTCGCAGATTGCTTCGGAATGTGCGCGTTAAACAGTATTGACGTGAATAAGACGTGTCACAGTAAAGACTTATTGTAAATGCACTTCTTTAGTCCTGGCTCTTTGCTGTGTTAGCTTGAACAGCTGCACAGACGCACATGTTGCTCCCACATGGCAGTCACTCAGAGGCCAACGTGGAGCTCACTTATTTACATTTCTACGTTTTAGGGACTTCTGTCTTTTTTATATATGAGTAGTAGTAGTAGTAGTAGTAAGTAATTATTTATATACCGCCTTTTCACTGCACATCGGAGTCTCAAAGCGGTTTACAATTGTTATTTTTGGGAGCAGGAGGGGCCAGTACAGGAGGCACATGCCAGACCTATTGTACATATTTTTAGTGGTAGGGGAAACCGGAGCACCCGGAGGAAACCTACGCAGACACGGGGAGAACATGCAAACTCCACTCAGAAAGGCCCTGGTCCAACCGGGATTCGAACCCAGGACCTTCTTGCTGAGAGGCGAGAGTGCTATCCACTCAGCCACCGTGCCTCCCAATACGAATCTTTGAGTTTGATTCCATTACACTCAACAGTTTTCCTAACACGTCAAAAGGCCCCCCGTGTTTGGTATGGTCCCGGAGAATGGTTATGGCTGCACTTCTAGTCTTCTATTTTTACATCTGGTAGAAGTAAAAACAAATCCAAGCACAAGTTCGCAATGTATTTGGTTAAATATTGTATTATTGCTTTTATTTTGCAATTCTGGGTTCGGTTGGACCAGTGCATTTCTGAGCGGAGTTTGTACGTTTTCCCCATGTCTGCCTAGGTTTTCTCCGGTTGCTCCTGTTTCTCTACCATCTCTGCGTGGCGTGAGAGAGAATGCCCATGACTATAATGTAATGCGCTTTGTGACTTTTGAAAATACAAACTTTCTATAACGTCTGTGCAGGAGGGACCTCAGAGGAAGAAGAGGAAATCAGAAGCTGTGCAGGTGGAGGAGAGGGCAGACCTGTTGGCCATGGGCACAGCAGCAGGCACAGTCCTAATCTACTCTACTGTCAAAGGGGCCTTGCACTGTACTCTGGTGAGTTCCAAACCATGTGTGTGTGTGAACTGTTGTTAAAGCTTTTTGCTGATAAAATTGATTCATAATTGTGAACATTGTGTGGGTTAAATGTCCTCCCTATATTTCAGGATGGAGGGCATACAGCAGGAGTCAACTGTGTCCAATGGCATCCAGAAGACAGTTTATTATACAGCGGTTCAGATGATACCAAAATCACAGAATGGGATTTGCAAACGGGCCAAACAAGAAGGTCAGTGACTTAATTCTCCCAAAGCAATTCCTAATTCTTTAAGTAGCTGTGGAAGACCTCAATTAATTTATTTAGGGATTTGATTGGAACAAATATAAGCAATAAACTTGTCTTTTATGGCTTTTAACATAATTAAAAACGCATTTTGCTTTATTACATTCACATTATACAAAGGCAGGTGTCCTCCAAATCAATTATCACAAAACTGTTTTGTTTTAACAAATCGCTTCAGTTTGTAGTCAATAGTAGTTGTCTTACACTTCTAAAAATGTGAGCAAGGCTGAGTACTTGTTGTGATTGACATAGGTTTTAATGTGAATACGGTTAATAGTATGAGGTTAGCATGTTGTTAACAAGCAAGATTCATATTCTGAAGGATTAAAATATTTGAAGCTTAAGCTGCATTAAAATAGCTATTCAGGTTTATATTAGTGGTTTGAGCCCACCGTAAAACCTTCTTCACGACTCCCACTGATGACTGCTGTCGTTGTGTCCTTGGGCAAGACACTTAACCCCACTTTGCCTGAAGCCCCCACTGAAAGATCTCAGCTCCTGTGGACTCAGCACCTGCAGGAGGATCAGTGAGAGGCTGGTGCTCTGTGGACTGGGTGCAGCTCTGACTGCCACCCCCCAACCCAGAAATGGATTAAGGGGAAGAAAATGGTTGGATGGATGTTTGTTAGTGATAAGAACTAAATAACAATGCAGTCTTTTACAATCAGGCCCATAGTAATTGGGCCAGCCACACGATAATAACATATTTGACTAAATCACCAAGGATTTGATATGAAACGAACGAGTCATGCTTGAATTACATATTTACTTCCAAATCAGGTGACATGTGTAGGAATTAAACTTTTTTTTAATTGCCTGTCATCTCCCTAAATGTCTTTCAAGCAACATGATATTCATTGGTCAGATTTGATCAGTATTTAGTGAAGAAAATTTTGTTTTACATTTAGTCATGAAGTACTCTGTTTAATAATTCCATGGTGGTGGGTTGACTGATTTTTGATTCTAACCTCTAACAATATTAACTCATTGACGTACTGAGATTTGTGATTTTTGTCTAGCTTCCCTCTTTTCCACCGGGGATTACAGGAAAACAAAATTAGCTAGAAACAAACATATTTTTGCGGAGGAAAGTAGACAATCCAGTCTTTCAGAATCTGGTTTCATTTTTCACGCTGTCATTGCACATAATATTCTGTGGGTCTTGAGGATCAGTGAATTAATAAAAAAAAACCGCCTGGCAGTCAATGAGTTAATAATCTGTACAATTAAATCCCATGGCAATTATTTATAAACCAGAAAAAAACAATCTGCTTGTCCAACTCGGTCAATTGTTTTAGATCAGCAATCCAAAACCTTTTTCAGTGCCACCCAAAGCAACGTATTTAAAATGCAGCAGAATGTGCAAACACCGGCGTTTGAGATTTTCGGACCTGGTTTTGAGCGTTCTTTTGGGAAAGTCACTAAAACATTCACACTTTTCAACAAAATGTATCCAAGCTACAAGCACGAAGTATGTAAAACACACAGAAGCCATCAGAAAACAATCGGCAGTCTCAGTTAATCACCAGAGAGTTTGAATGTTATGTTTTCTTACCGTGGTGGTGAAGCAGGACTAGGGGCAGGAGGCGGCGCTGTAGTCAGGTTTAGGATTAGCCTAGCTCCACAGGTTAGCTCCATCGGCTTGGCCACAGCTCCGGCCCGGCTGTGTATGCTCATGTACAAGACTGTGGGTCCTAATGCATTCGCAAATCTGTTTTCACATTTTCCTGCCCCGCGGCCATTTTGACAAAGCCACAGAAGTAAAAGTGGTACAGTAGATTCAAAGGGGGAGAAAGGTGTGACTACGTCTGTTAATATTTACAGTCTATGGGCGGCACGGTGGCTGAGTGGATAGCACTCTCGCCTCTCAGCAAGAAGGTCCTGGGTTCGAATCCCGGTCGAACCAGGGCCTTTCTGAGTGGAGTTTGCATGTTCTCCCAGTGTCTGCGTAGGTTTCCTCTGGGTGCTCCGGTTTCCCCTACCACTAAAAATATGTCCAATAGTTCTGGCATGTGCCTCCTGTACTGGCGACCCCGCTCCCATCTCTGTGTGGAGTGAGAGACAAATGCCCAAAAAAAATTAACAATTGTAAACCGCTTTGAGACTCAGATCTGCAGTGAAAAGGCGGTATATAAATAAAGATTACTTACTACTTACTACTATGGTGCAAGAGGCAAGGTCATTGTGGTTTCAGCTTAATTCTCATTCTCTTTGTACTTCATTACGAGCCTCTGTGCAGCACCTTCAGAACGCCCGTGCAGTGGAAGAACATGAGTTTACGTTTCAGCGCTATCATGTCACATAACGAAGATGCAAGGTGTTCATCCGGCCCTTTTTCAATCTGGGATCAGACGCTGATAAAGAATACAGAATATTCTTTCATTGGCAGCCTGGTTTGAATGTCCCACAGCTCGGTACCTGTCTGCAGACTGGGGGTTGTGAACCACTGTTTTGGATCACCAACAATATTTTTTTAATGCTGGTCCCCCTAACCTCTTCATGATAAAAATGCCAAGAACTTTAATGGGAAATGTATAAGGACGATATTGATCTCTTATTGATAGTTATGTGGTAGCCTGGTCTTACCATGTGTAAACTCTGGTCTATGATCATTTCCTACATGTACGTCTGGGTCTGATCCTAGTGGCTGCAGTTTCCTCGGTTGAATCCCCTCCGACCAATCAGAGAGCGGGGGAGGCGGGTGTTGTAGGTCGGTGTCGGTGACGTCAGAGTTTGTGCTGAATTTACTGGTTGTAGTTTGTCGGAGAATGTGATAGTAAAATAATCTGTTCTGGTTCAATCCAAATATTAAGAAACAGACGCCGGAGTAAGAGGAATGTTTAGTAAATTATGCTGCAAAGATGTTGTGGCTCTACTCCCCACGGGCTCCGTTAGTGGTGGAGATGGCTAAAGCTAGGCTACATGCTAAATTCCTCACTCATTCGGGCTCATTACATACGTCACAGTAAACTCATCCAATCGTTCCAATCTGCAAAAGGAGTTAACCCCTCCCAACTGTTAACGGAGTCCATGGAGCAAATCCAGACCTTAGCAAAAAATGAAATGAGTACAATGGTATGCTAAGAAAATCATGGCCAAATGTATTCTTGTCTTAATCTCTAATGTAACTCTTGTTTAGTGCGTGGAAGGCAGATCGTGCAGCCATCACCAGTTTGTGTGTGAGTCCGAACGGTAAACTTCTGCTTTCTGCTGGATATGTCATCAAAATGTGGGACCTGGAAACCAAGGAGATCTACAGGGTATGTTGCTAAATACTCCTCCCATAACAACACTCACACATTGAAAGCTAACGATATTTTTTTTAATTTTTGCTCAGAAATTCACAGGACACTCCACAGCTGTGACGACTCTGTGCTTCGCCACGACTCGGCCCCCTGATGGGAACGGCCTCTATTTTCTGTCTGGTGCAGCACATGATCGATTACTCAGTGTGTGGTATGTCTCAGTCCAGTCTCGGGAACGGTTTATTAGTGTGTGTGTGTTGCTAATTGTTGTGCGTTTTTGTTTCCATTAGGCAAGTGAGGGATGATGGAAAGGACAAAAATTCAGTTGTGTCATTCACTCTGACTGATGAACCACAACATGTCAGCCTTATCCCATCCAATAGCAAGGAAGAGGTCGGTATTTATCAGTTTTTCATGTACTTGTAAGATTTCTGAGGGTCTGTATGTGTGTGACGGCCAGGGATGCACCAATTGGGAAATGTTGGGCCAATACCGATGTTTAAGGCCTAGCGCACATCGACCGAGTAACTGGAGACGACTCGTTTCAAGGCGGCTCTTGGCGACTGAGAGGAGATGATGGAGATGATTCGTTGAAATCGGTCGATGTGCGCGCTCTTACAACTGGAGATAAACTGTCGATCTCCGGATTCAGTCAGTTGCCCGTGTTCTACTTTTTGGAAAAGTTGTCCTCAGATCCGGAGATATCACCCGATGTGCGCGCTCCTAATAGATCCAACATTGCGTGTATTGCGCCCTCTACAGTTGATGTCAGAAAACACACTGTAGTTGAGGCCAGTTGCTGTTATTCCCCAGACTGGCCTGATACAGGAGTTGCCCGTTTACGCCACATTGTCCATGTGTGCGGGGCAGTAGTAGTAGTAGTAGTAATCTTTATTTATATACCGCCTTTTCACTGCAGATCTGAGGCCCTGTCCACACAAAGTCAAGCTCAGGCCTAAACGCAAAAATACTTTATCAATCCAGTGTATCGTCCATACGAGGCCGGCGTTTTGGGGGGGTGTAAACGAACATTTTTGATACTAGGTCCCAGAGTGGAAAGATTTCAAAACTCCGTATATGCCGCTCCGTGGTTACTGCCTCTCCGCAATGTATCTGAGACGCGTCATCGCCCCGCCTCTTGTTAAAGCACGCATGCGCCGCACTCAGAAAATAATGAAAACAACAATGTAGCTTGTTGGTTTTGTAATCCAGTGTGACCCGAAGCAACAGTTCAACCTCATCGTCCGTCCATTCTAATGTAGTACCAGCTCGCCCACTCGGCATGTTGTCTGTTTACAAAATTCTGCGCATGCCCAGTTCCCGTCACGGAAGTTTGGGCTTGATCCCGTCATTGCGTCACAGCGCCACCAACAGGTCTGGCATAGTTTCACAGCGTTTTCAGGCGTATTGACTACATTCCTATGGACGCACACATTTACTGAGCTAACTCCGTGTTTACAGAAAAAGTTTCTGAAATTATAAGCGTTTTGTCTTCGTGTGGATATAGCCTGAGTCTCAAAGCGGTTTACAATTGTTAATTTTTGGGCATTTGTCTCTCACTCCACACAGAGATGGGAGCGGGGTCGCCAGTACAGGAAGCGCATACTAGAACTATTGGACATATTTTTAGTGGTAGGGGAAACCGGAGTACCCGGAGGAAACCTACGCAGACACGGGGAGAAAATGCAAACCCCACTCAGAAAGGCCCTGGTCCGACCGGGATTCGAACTAGTGATGTAAAGTTCGATTCATTTTACTGACTCGAGTTAAAGTGAATCACTCACCAAAGTGAATCGGGTGTTTTGAGTCATTTGATTCAGTGATTCAGTTGTTCAGAAAAAAACATACATGAACACAAAATAATACTAAAATGGCAATTTACAATCAAAACATTTATTAAAATTTGATAAATGGTAACAATAACAAATATGTAAACTAATTTGACAAAATATGAACTCTTTAAATTTAACAATTCAACAGTAAAATTGTGAACAAAGCAGCAACAACATTCCAAGCGAGGGGCTGTCACAATACAAGAAATACAATAACAATGCTGGCTAAATGCCGTCTCATATTTGATGTGGTCCCTCCTTGAAATGATAAAACAACCTTGCAGAGTTGACATTTTGCTCGTGATGGGCCTGTTATTTCAAAGTGCATCCAAATATCGCTTCTTCTGCGGCTACTATCCATTTTCTATAAAAATATTTCAAACTTTCCGCCAAAAATGTGGTGTTACATAAATGTATTCCGTGTTAAAACCTACATTCCTGGTAAAAAAAAAAAAAGGTCATAACAATTATATTATATAAATAATAAATACAAACAACTTTGATATTTTTCACACATTCATTTTTTTATTGATGACAATCATTGTAACGCCAATAATGTTCGAGGCGGAACTCCTGTTGTCCGACGAGAGAAACACAGCTGAACAAATAACTTAATAAATAGCCAATTATATTTTTCAATCTACCTCACATAATACATGTAGAGCAGGCATGTCAAAGTCAAATACATCAGAGGGCCAAAAAAACTAATTTGCTGCGAGCCGAGGGCCGGACTGGTTCAATGTTTATTAACTCATTGCTTGCCAGCCTATTTCAGAACAGGTACTCCCATATTTCCAGCAGTTACTGATGATTTTTATAGATTTTTCAAACCCACAGAATATTGTGTACTATGACTATCTGAAATCTGAAACCAGATTCTGAAATAATAGACTGTCTACTTTCATCAGCAAAAACAATTTTGTTTCTAGCTTGTAATCCCCAGTTGAGTAGAGAGAAGTTTTACTGAAATCACCAAAAAGCTGAGAAAAATGAGGCACAACAAGTGCATCTAGCTGTTTTCAAACCATTCAGAGAGTGCTGCTGCCACCTGCTGGCTCGATTCAATATGCTCTCAAGCTTATCCCCATACATATTAGATATAATAGACATCTGGGAACATGAAAATAGCGGAAAACGCAATTGACGTAATAGTGTGTCAATGGCAGGAAACGGGCCATGTAAAATTCATTCGCGGGCCGGATTTGGCCCGCGGGCCTTGACTTTGACACATGTGATGTAGAGGGTTATTATTTTTTGTCAGATGGGGCAAAAGAAACTACTTTTTTCAACCCAGTTAGAGAACGAGAGTTACGAGACGAGTCGGTGTCCTGTCCTGTTGTTTCGACTCGCTTGATGCTGAGTGAGTGAGTCAGATCAGATGAACGATTCGTTCAGAGCTGAACGACTCGAAGGGGAGCGGGAAGGGGCTGATCCAGAACCACAGTGAGTCGTTCACTGCTCGTACGGCTCGTACTAGCAGGCGCGGGCAGGCAGGAAGGAGGACGTTACGGTGAAGTAGATGGTTGTAAACAATAAGCTTTTGGTTTCTGTGCTCAAACGAGCTACAGTACACACACACACAGTCACACACGTAATATTAGAGTGTCATTCATTGTGGCTAGTAGAAAACGCAGTCTGGGGGTCGCAGTTTAGAAAGTGGTGGGCGGACGAGTTAGTGAGCGAGTTAATGGAGGCGGGGAATCACGACTCCCGAGTCAGTAAAGTGAATCTCGAGTTTTGAACGATTCGTTCACGAATCGCACATCACTAATTCGAACCCAAGACCTTCTTGCTGAGAGGCGAGAGTGCTATCCACTCAGCCACCGTGCCGCCCGCAGCAACTCAAAGGCGACTGATATAATCAGTTGCCAGTCCGATGTACGCTAGGCATAACAAAGCAACTAGGCCAATGTTTTTACTTTTTGTTATTTATATATATTTGGCTCACTCCACACTAAACTCTACCAATGTGTTACATTTTGGTCAATGACACAAAAAAGTTCTAGAAATGTCCATGGCCGCTGCAGTTGAATGTTCACAGCACTCACTGTAGTTTGTCTCCAGCTTGTTTGTCCAGTGAAGGGGGCATTAAATACACTGACTTTGTTCACGCACGTACTATTAACAAAGCTCAAAGAAAGCTGTTCTGGACGTAACAAAAGTGGACACGATTATTACATCCAAAACGCCCGGTTTGTCTGCAATTATTGTGTTTTTTTGCATAATGTGAAATCTATAATTATTGATTCTAGTTTTATCCACAAACATTAACCATTAGTGTTCTATGTCCTGTTTATTCTTCCATTCACAAAGCCTCCAACTTCACACGTCCTAAATGTAACAGTTGTGTCCCCAGAGTTCAATACCGTTTGAACCGTAATAAAACATGTTCAGGTACTAACAATTATGGTTCATTTATTTTATTGTTACTTGAAGTTAGATTGACCCATGGTGCAGTTTATGCTGGAGTGAGCCTTATATGTACATATTAGGGATTTAAATCGGTGACTGTTTAACCGCTGGTTGACCGTCACAGCGTTAACCGGTCAAAGCTGTCGGTTAAAAATAAGAAAAAGGGGAGAGGGGAGGTCTCTAAATAAGGCAATTTTAAGCCCTATTTGCACAATGTGACGAGCGGGTCCGTATCTAGCTGTGTGCGCCAATGCATTAGTAAACTACCAACACACACTTCCCCCCCCCCCTCCATACGTAACATCCACACGCATCATCTCTCCCCTCTGTTACCGCCAAAGTTCCACACTAGTGCAGGTCAGAACTACACTGGAGCTTATATTTACACATACACACACATATACACACACACACACATACACATACACATACCGGTCTGTCGCGCTCCTCTGTGTCACGCAGCCCAAAGAATCCTCGCAAATACGCGGTTTCAGTCAAACACATGATGTTTGTGCTGCTGGTCCTTGACATTAGATCAGCTCCACACACATCACTTTTAAACTTTAGCGGAGACCTGTGAGACGCGGTTTGCTTAAAAATGCTTTAATGCACAGAAGAATGGGAAGATTAAAAAAGCAGTGCTTGAAGCTGTTGCGGGGTTTGGCGCCGCTGTCTCAGCTCTGATCCTGTAGAACGCATAGATAAACTTATGAAGAGTACGTGGCTCGAAATGGCTGTTATTTCAATGAACGTGGAATATTTTAAACTACGCGGTTAAACTGGTTTCAACTGGTTATTGAGGCTCGGTGGTCGGTCATGAAAATGTATAGTTTTTTACATCTAGTACATACATTTACATATATACAGCTTCATGCAGTCGCTCTACACCCTACTGTAATAGTTAATTTTCTAATTTAAAAAGAATCATACTTTGCAGAAGCTAAATGGCTGTTACCAGTTTACAATAAAGCTTGGCAGAAAACATTTAAGGTGTACATGTATAATAATGCGGTCAACATTAAGTAGGAAGTATTGTCGTTCATGCACCATGGAGCTTCATTACATTTTGGTTGACATTGTTGATTGTTTTTCCTTTGTGCAGGCGGTGAGGCTGGCGGTGGTGTGTAAAGATGGGCAGTTGCATCTGTTTGAGCACTTTTTAAATGGGTAAGGCTTTTCAAAGTTATTACTGTGTCCATATGGTCCGACCAAATTAATCTTTTTAATGGTTTTCGATAAATCAGAGGTGCCAGCAGATGGGACAGTAATCAGGGAATACTCTCAGCTAATCCGGTGCTGCTGTGTGTCATGTTTGGGCCAGTTGTTGTGTAATGAATGTGTGTTAAACTGCAGCCTATGCACTCTCCCACAGGCCGTGTAAGAAGCCCCTGTCGCCATCTTGTACGGTGCAGTTGTCGGACACCAAGGACACCCCTGCACCCATCCCTCTGCTGGCTGCTGCGCTGGGGCCGGAGTCTCGAGGTGTGACCCTGGCTTATGGCAACCACCTGCAGCCCGTCATGGAGAGAGTGGTGAGTTCATCTTTATTATATCTATATTATCTATATTTTTCACTTTACATTTTTCTTTCATTTATGCCATAAATTGGCATGTGGTGTATTTCTGACCAATATATCGGTAATCGTCATATCGTGATGTAATTGCTATTGTGAGCTTTGTATCGCGTATCGTGAGGTACCCTGAGGTTCCCACCCCTAATGTACAGTATATAACTCCGCACGACATATATATATATATTTATAATTTTTCTTTTCTTTTTTTAAGACTTACTAAAGCATTCACAGCTAGCTAAGAAAAATAGCTACTAATTTTGTACATTGTTTGTGCTCCATGTGCTCTTACTACTGTCCTGTATGTGCGCTGCAACATTGAAATTTCCCCACTGTGGGACGAATAATGGATCTCTTTTAGGTAGGCCTGTCACGATTACTAATTTTTCTGGACGATCAATTGTCTCAGAAATGATGAACGACAATACTATCGCTCAGAAGCGATAGTATTGTCGTTCTGAGATCATTTTCATCTAATACAATGATAATGATTTTCAAAGAGAAATACACTTTTTATTTTTAAAGACCACCGCTGGAAGTGGTGGAAGTAAAAAGCCGCTAGCATGATGCTAACTCCGTTAGCAATACTTTATTGATCCCTGTTGGAGAAAGGCAGGTGTCCAGTAGCAGCAAAAACACATCCATCCAAACAAAGAAGTTATACTTTTTTATAGATCATTTAAAAAGTATCTAACAATAGCAGAAGTGAAGCAGCTGCTTGTTTGGGACCATGAATCCTCTCTGCTCTGGTCTGGACCAGTGTAAAACCATGAATCTTCTCTGCGCTGGTCTGGACCAGTGTAAAACCATGAATCCTCTCTGCTCTGGTCTGGACCAGTGTAAAACCATGAATCCTCTCTGCTCTGGTCTGGACCAGTGTAAAACCATGAATCCTCTCTGCTCTGGACCAGTGTAAAACCATCAACACTGAACTGCAGCAACATCTCAGGCAGAAAAATGTAAGAAAAATGACTTTTTTTGGGACTAGTTTCCATTTCCAGCCCATTCAAAAGTAACATGCCAAAGTACTGAGTAGGGCTGGGCGATATGGCTGAAAACTATATCACGATATAAGTCATTCATATCGGTCGATAACGATATATATTGAGTTTTTTTTTTTTACCTAAATAAATATATTTGTGGTGTGGGCTAACCAACCTTAGCAGCCTTGTTTACAGTCACGGGGCGATGAGGCTGGAGGAATATGTTCACACTGTGTCCATGGTTGTTAGTCCTGGTTTATTCCTGGTTTAGCTCCTGGTTTAGCTGTTTGAGGGTCTTGTGTCCCCGTGACCGCTCCGTGCGGCTCTCTGTGCCGCACATGCTTCCCGAGGAAAAAGTTAATCTCTTGCTTTCGCCGAATACGTCGTGTCTGTCCACTGCCTCTGCCGCCGCACATGTTATTCCGCGCACGTACGTGCACAACCATTGAAACGGCATTGAAACACGAGCTATAGATCCATGGACGCTACGCATGTTGCGGTTGTTGTTGTTTTTACATTTCCCAGAAAGTTTTGCGGTTCCTGCTCGGCTGTTATTGGTCGAGAAGCCTCTGCCTACATCCCCCACAATGCCATGCGCTTATGAGTCGGCTTTACTTCCGGTGTTTTCTTCCTGTTTTTCCTGACGGAGTTAAGTTAAACTATCGAACATTCTATCGACCCCATTCTCTATTGATATCGAACACATGTCTATCGCGATATATATCGTTATCGTTTTATCGCCCAGCCCTAGTACTGAGATGATGTACTGTGATAATGTATTGGGTTTTGAAGTATAAAGATAATCTAATATTTGAAAATCTAATCATATTGTTTATTTAAAGGAGCTGGACACCACAGAGCGACAGATCTGTTTACCCAGAGACATCCACAGCAGCCTCTCCTTATCGATGGAGACCAATGTGTCCAAGGTAACTATAGAAAGTCATTCTATACCATCTGTCAGTTTCACACGACGACATATTGACGTTCATATTTCCAAAGGTGAAAACTCCTGTGGTCAATGCAAAGAGCAAAGTGTTGGTTCCTGGTCTTCCCGGACACCACGCACCCAAAGCCTCTTCTCAGGTCTCAGAAAAGAGGAAAAAGGGAACGGACATCAAAGAGGTATGTGGTGTTCAGAGTTCATTCACTGCAGTCATAGGTTGGCACAGAGGAGTCCAAACTGGTCCAGAAAGGTCTGCTGTGGCTGCAGGTTTTCTATCAGACCCAACAGGAGCAGAGCAGACTCCATTTCCTTCATAACTTGAACCAAAACAGCGTCATGTGGTGAGAACAAAACCCTTCAAGACCTTCTCTAAGAGCACTACGGCCTCTGGTCTCGCTCTCTGGTCTCTTTGGTCCCTCTCTCTGGTCCCTCTCTCTGGTCCCTCTCTCTGGTTCCTCTCTCTGGTTCCTCTCTGGTCTCTCTCTCTCTCTAGTCTCTCTCTCTCTGGTCTCTTTGGTCCCTCTCTCTGGTCCCTCTCTCTGGTCCCTCTCTCTGGTTCCTCTCTCTGGTTCCTCTCTCTGGTTCCTCTCTCTGGTTCCTCTCTCTGGTTCCTCTCTCTCTGGTCTCTCTCTGGCCCCTCTCTCTGGTCTCTCTCGTCTCTCTCTCTCTCTCTATCTCTGGTCCCTTTCTCTTGTCTTGTCTCTGGTCTCTGGTCCCTCTCTCTGGTCTCTGGTCCCTCTGGTCTCTCTCTGGTCTCTCTCTCTAGTCTCTCTCTGGTCTCTCTCTGGTCCTTCTCTCTGGTCTATCTCTGGTCCCTCTCTCTGGTCTCTTTCTGGTCCCTCTCTCTGGTCTCTTTCTGGTCCCTCTCTCTGGTCTCTCTCTGGTCTCTCTCTGGTCCCTCTCTCTGGTCTCTCTCCTAACCCAAGTGAGTTAAGTCTTAACCTGAAGATTTGAGAAAATGGGCAGAGTCTGCTCTGCTCCTGTTGGGTCTGATGGAAAACCTGCAGCCACAGCGGACCTTTCTGGACCGGTTTGGATTTTCTAGATGTTGATGGACCGTCTCGCCGTTCTTCCCACAGATGTCCATAGCAGAGCGACTTGGGGAGATCGACCTGGATAAAGCTTCCTCTGAGACTGGTGTTTCCAAGATGGCCGCCTCTTTACAGACCGATAACTTGGCGGTGTTGCTGGTCCAAGGCCTGGAGAGCCACGACGCCAACATCCTCAACGTGAGTCTTTTTGGGCGTGGTCTCGGCTGAGGTCTGTGTGTCTCCTTTTCTCGTTATTTCTCTCTTGTCCCCCCTCTCGTCCTTTTCTTTCTCTCGCCTTCTCTAATCTCCCCCCTTTCTCTCTTCCTCCCCCTCTGTCTTTTCCTTTCTCTCTCTACCTTGCTCTATCCCACATGTGTCAAAGTCAAGGCCCCCGGGACATTGCCTGCCATTGAGGCAATGTATTGACCCCTTAAGCTCGCTAGCCCCCGCCGGCGGGAGCAAACGAGGGGAAAAAAACATCTGCTGGCAATAGCAGATGTATTTTGAACTTCATAAGCCACAAGCTATATATCATTTTGAATCTTATTTTCTCAGCTATATTTATATATAAGTGTAAACAATATCAGACTTTGCATTAAAAAGATACAACGCATAATATGGGCACAAAATAAATCACGTCTGTATTTGTTTTTTACCTTTCGTCTTCTGCTGCTCCAACAAATTAGACTTTCCCCATCCTTGCTTAGTCTCTTTCTCTCCGTAACTGTTCATTGAAGAAGAACATCCACTTGTATTTTCCAAAGTATAATCCATTCTGCAGATTTAATCAAAAAACGCCCCTTTTTTTTTACTATTTTCATGTTCTCAGATGTCTTTTACATCTAATATGTACAGTATGAGGATCGGCTTTGGAGCATATTTTATCGAGCCAACAGGTGTCACCGGCACTGCCTCTGGATGTTGAGAAACATTGAACCAGTCCGGCCCTCGCGCGTAGCAAACTTTTTTTTTTGGCCCTCTGATGTATTTGACTTTGACATGCCTGGTTTAGAACATACGTATTTTATTTCTTGCTCTATTCTTGCCTCTCTCCCCTATTTCTTTCTCTTCCCTCCTTTCTCTTTTCCTCTTGCTCTATCCTTCACTCTTTCTCTCCTCCTCTTTCTCTCCCCATTTATCTCTCCCCCTCTTTTCCTCTCTTGCTCAATCCTTCACTCTTTCTTTCTCCTCCCCCTCTTTTCCTCTGTCTTCCCTTTCTCGCCTGCTCTCTCTCTTTCTCTCCCCCTGTGTATTTCTCTAAAGCCCTGTTTGTCTGACAATAGTTCCATCTGTAAAACTCATCAGCGCAGAACTGTTTTAATTTGTCGTAATTATGACAATCATCATCTTGTTTTGGAACAGTAAATCCAATGGTTGCTGAACACACTGAAAAGGGATTGGAACCATTTTAATTCGTTCAAATCTCTAACATGTATTTAGGTTAAGGCACATTTTAAAACATATTTTAGGGTAAACATTTTCAGACTTAGAAATGAAAGAGTCAAATCATTTGAGGGCAGTGGTTAAAATCTGTCCCTCGTTGAGACCGTTTTGTCGGAGAGTGGAGTCCTAAATGTGCAGCGTGAGGTTAAAAATATAAATATAATAAAGAAAAAAAATTGTATCTATATGTGACATTTTTAGCATTGCTCTTCATAGTACTTTTGTTTTTTTTTTTTTTTTAATGAACTGATTTCTGGACTTTAAGAGACCTGTGTCCTACTTTTTCTGCTGCATTTAACACTTGAGACTTTGTAATTCCTGTATTTTGTTATGTTTTGCAGAACGTTTTCCAGACACGTAAAGATATGGCCATTAAAAAAACCGTTGCTCGGATACCGCTGTCGACAGTGTTGCCTCTGGTTCAAGAGGTAAGATCTAAATATTATATAAATATTGTTATCCCTGGATTTGGGCAGTTATTTTGAGGCTGAGAATTTTGTCTAGAGGCCGGAATCAAGTTCATTATTCAGAGTTAGGGGTGGGCAAAATGTATCGTAGACCATAATATTGTGAAAGTCAATTTGAAGATACGCTTTTTTGTATTATCGTCCTTTTTCTTTTTACAAACATATTAGTTAGAGAAGGACAGATGCCCATTTGGTCTAACGTGAGCCTAAAAAGCCATTTAGCCGTTTTTTCTGTGTTTCTTGAATTAGATTTTTAATGTTAGTGCATGTTATGTGCATGTTTTGCAAAGATGTGTGAAGCACTTAACAAATAAAAAGCTTCTATTTAGATCTACACTGTCTCTATCTAAAGAAGCCCTGGTAAGAAAAACATTACAGATCATGTTGTTTAAAAATGATTGATTTTAAAGATGATTGATTTTAAAGATATCGTGACAGTATCGTTGTTTTTGTCCATATCGCTCACCCCTATTCCAAGTATGTCACTAGACAGGCGGACACGAGGGCAGCTATGTGCGCCGCGGGGTCCTTTAGAGACTTCACAGAGCCGTCCAATAAGATGCCACTGTGAATTAGAATCATCAGAAGTCACCATTTCTTTCAAAGTTTTTAAAAAAATGTACCCTTCTCATCTCTGCGAATCTTCAATGTTTTTTTAACCGTTGTGTTTCCCTCGGGTCAAATTGACCCACCACAGGACGCTTTAATTAAGAGTATTTTTTCTACTTTTAATCACAGTTGCAGGTCGTTTTGACTCGGGGAAAGCACAATGGTTAAAAATAATTTGCCAAATAAGATACTACAGCACTATTCTACTTCTGATGAGTGGCTTTATGTTTTTATTAAAGCACTGTCTTGTCTTTTTCAGATTACAATACGACTCCAGGGACATCCAGTTTCGTAAGAATAACTTTGGTCTTTTGTAGTGACTTCATGCACTTAAAGTCACTTGTATATATTTTCTGTAACATGAGACTTCATATCCACTTCTGTATCTGGTGTGAACAGGGCGAGGCTGATGGTTCCCTGGTTAAAAGCCGTTCTTATGCACCACACTTCATACCTTGCATCGGTGAGTCCTGTGTTTACGGAGCGCACCTCTTTAATGACGTCATTTGTCAGCTCGTCTCGTAGCAGAACTGTTCTCTCTGATTGACATAACGCCGTCCGTCTGCTCCACAGCTGCCCGACCTGGTGACGCAGCTCGGAGTGCTTTATCACATGATCGAGAACAGAGTCAAGTTGTTCCACAAACTAGCCAGACTACACGGGAAGCTGTACCTCCTGACCACGCAGGTGCTTTGTTTAGAACTCAGTGACTGCTATAGACGTATTTGTGTGAGAGCCTGTGTTCGACTGCGGATTACAGGACAACAAAAAGAGCTAGAAACAAACTTACTTTTGCTGATGAAAGTAGACGATTCAGTCTTTCAGAATCTGGTTTCATATTCCACATAGTCTTGGCACATAATATTCTGTGGGTCTTGAGAATCAGTGGAATCATCAAAAAAACGGCTGGCAGTCATTAATAGCTCCTACTTCATGATTTGTCTTGATTTTATTCTTCTTTTCCGTCACTAGATGGCAGCAAACCCCAACAGCTCTCCCGCCACAGACGTAGACCACACGGCTAAACTAGTTTATGAAGAGGGTAAGTACCTAAAGTCTCCTGCTGAACCCTGCCTCTTGGCTCTATGCTTTAGCGAATACTGACTGGAGTTTATTGAACCTGTTCCTGTTGTGGGACTGGAGTGACGAGCTATTGTTTAAATCAGGCGTCTCCCAATCTTTTTCACCCAGAGAGCTACTTTCCCGAATCGATAAAGGCAGAGAGCTACTCCTTTAAGTGGCCCTGGGGAAAAAATATGATGATATATTGGTGTGAACAAGCCTGATATTGGGAACAGTGATTTTTTTTTATCTTATATGTTACAAGTGCAAAAAGTGAATTTACAATAATACATTATGAGAATAACACAATCTGAAATATTAAGTATATTATTTAATGTTTTCTTTTCTAAATCCTTTGGCGAGCTACAGGTGGGAGACCCCTGGGTTAAATCATTATTTTGACTGACTGATTTTTTATCTCAATTTATCTCCAGGAGTTTGGGGAAAAATGTTCACAAGTGTTGGAGATTTGAAGGCATCGCTGCTCGTCTCGTGCAGAAGTGACTGCTGTTGCCTGGCAACTTGACCAGCAATGTTTCTAAACCTCCCCCTTTGAGCTGCGTAACGAGCTCTGTTCTGTTAATTTTAATTTCTCTAATTACTCGTCTATAGAACAAACCTTTATTGAACACAGGAAATTGGCTTTCATGAAATAATTAATCTGAGCCCAAGTTCCAATAACTCTGTCACCGGTCCCAGAGCAGGGGAGCGTCTTTCCAAAGTCCTGATGAGCTGGAGGTTGTTCCGTTCCCCTCTGAATGCTTCTGTGCTCGGGCTTTATTACGGGCCTTTAAGGGGCCAACGAGGGACCGGGGGCCTCAGAGCACGGTCACACTGCTAACAGGGATGACTTAATGTGATCCACCAGCCTCAGTCTCACAAGCTCAGGGTTAGAAAAGTACAGTGCAGGATCGAAAGCTTTAAATACAGTTTTTTAAAGATGTTAAGTCTCCACAGGGATTTAGTGACTCTCAGAACGATCATGGATTACTTTGTTTGTGACACAAATGGGTTTCATTCTGTATGTCTGTACTTGTCTGGTGCACACTGTGGACTTTTGCAAATGTATTCCAATGTGGTTTTACTGCAAATGGCAAATAAATGAATCTGAATCTTAGGCTCATTTTTTTGTATTTGTCCTTTGACAGAATCCTCCGACGAGGAGGCGACAGACGACGAAGCTCTTCCTGATGCAGAATCAGACGTCAGTGGAAAAATCTTTCACTTTGTTGTTGTAGTTGTTGTAGAGTAACTGAGCCTGTTGTTGTTCTCAGCACTGGGATGAGGATGAGGAGGAGATGGAGGATGAAGAGGCAGAGGAGAACCCAGACAGCAGAAGAGCGTCCAAAACAAACGGAGATGAAATGGAGCGTGGGAATGAAAGTGAAGAAGAATGAATCATAAAAACAAACATGGACCTGAGAGTTATAAAGAGCATTTTATTTTCCTTCATTTGATTTTAGTATCAAAGGGTTTTACAGAATCAAGTTGTACCGACTCCGCACAACCCCCGCCCCGCGCAGAGGTCGCCGCCGGGACCGGGACGAGACCGTGGACGTGTCAAAGCAGTTTTATAAGAGTTCTATTCTTCTGCCGTTTGGTTTCAGTCGTTTCACGTGTTTCTCAAACGGTTTGTGTTCCTGCCTCTGTTGTATGCATTCCAAATATTTCATTATGTAACCATAGCAACACAATCTAATGTTGAACCACAGTTTTGGATGTGCGTTCCTTCTCCATAAAGCATGTTGTGAACGGTGCAGAGGAAACGGCCACAGCTTTACAGACTTTCTACTCTCCCAGACTCGCATCATGTTCAGATCAGTGTAAATCTGTTTGTACAGTCGAGTTTGTGTGAGCTCCTCCTTCTCTAAGATCTTTGGGATTAAATAATCTCCCAGAGTCTGGATCCTGTTCTTTCTCTTTGTGCTGAAACGGAGCCCGAGGACCACGGTTTTATTCTGATCAAACCTGAAACTATTGATCATGTGAAGAATGCTCATAAAACTAAAAACTTTAGTCAGTCCCACAGAACTTGTGTTTTCAGAAGTTGAATTAAATGGTATTTAATATTTTCAAGAATATTTTGGATAATTTTCCTACAACATAAATAAAAACAGAAAATATGACGTTTTTTTACTTCCTGGATTCTGTTTCGATGTTGGCTCAGTTCCTCTGAAGCCGTGATGGGTTTGAGAAATCTGGTGTTTTTCAATATCTGAAGAATGTTTGGGGTTTAGAAGTTGGAAAGTGAGTGATGAAACTTCGCAGCTGGTACAGACGCTGCATGTAATTATAAGCACAGGTGTTACTGCAAACTAAAATATCTCTCAAATCCCATCTTTTTCCTGCAGGATTTCTGAACAATTAAGCAGTTTTCAGAGGGTTCATGATCCATTCCTCTTGATTCCGTATTTTACCATAAATTTAAATACTGAAAAACACTTCATTATAGTCTCACAATGCACATTTTTTCTAAAGCTGCAGATGCTTATGAGTTCTAGACCAGGGATGTCGAATACATCAGAGGCCATAAAAACACATTTTCAAATATAAAATAAAGGCTGGACTGGTTCAATGTTTATTAAAACATTTAAAATAATGCATAAAACATGTTGAACTAAGACCTAGCACAGTGGACTCTAAGTTAATAATCCAATATGCTGTCATTTAGAGTTGAATCATCTTTAAACAGGCTCAAAATCAAACTTCCTTCAAAGAAAAATAAAGCAATATTTTGTATGTCTCTGTGCGGCCGGTGCTAATACTAATTCAAGATCATCCCGAGAGCCAAGATAATTCATGGACCAGATCTGGCCCCCGGGCCTTGACTTTACACCCATGCTCTAGACCAGGGGTCTCCTATCTGTAGTTCGCCAAAGGATTTAGAAATTAAAAAAAAAAGAATATTCATAATATTTCAGATTCATTATCTTTTGCACAGTAATAAATATGTATGTACCCAATATCAGGCTCGTTCACACCAATATACATATACTAAATATATATATATTATATATATAGTGCAAAGAGGCACCTGAGACGATCCAACACATAACTGCAGGGAAGGCCTACATGGAACGCCATAACCAAGTGGCTGACATAGTGTACAGAAACATCTGTGCAGAGTATGGGCTGGAAACCCCAAGGTCTAAGTGGGAAACTCCTCCAAAGGTGGTGGAGAATGAGGAGATCCTGTGGGACTTCCAGATACAGACCGACCCAATGGTAATGAACCAACCTGACATCATGGTGGTGGACGTGGCCAAGCGATGGTACCATCAGGAAAAAGGAACATGAAAAGCTTGAGAAATACCAAGGTCTCAGAGAGGAGTTGGAGAGTCTGGAGGGTAAAGGAGACAGTAGTGAGAGTCTGAAGGTAAAGGAGACAGCAGTGAGAGAGTCTGAAGGAACAGCAGGAACAGCAAAGATACTGCACAGAACCCTCAGGCTCCCAGGCCTCTGGTAGAGGACCCGAGCTTAGAGAGGGATAACCGCCCGCGGAGGGCCAGAGGTAAGATTTTATTTTTTTAATATAGTTGTTTAACCAGGACATCTCAGGTCATCCCATAGAGATTAAGAACCTCTTTTTCAAGGGAGTCCTGGCAAAGACAGATAAAATTACATTGAAAATGACAGATACAGGCAATACATCAGGTAAAACAATTAAAGGTCGTCGGTTTTTGAGGCCCTCTCAAAAACTATCGCCACATTTTCCCCAGGACCAAAGGAGTAGCTTCTGCCTTTATCGTCCCGGGAAAGTATTTCTGGGTGAAAAAGGTTAGAGACACTGCTCTAGAGGATGAGAACCTGGTTTATTTAATTCATAGTCTAATAATTCAAAACATATCAGTTGACCACTTATGAGGAAAAAGTTTAAAAATCACATGGGCAAAAGTCTGAAATGATGCTTGTTTATCAATCTGTTCCCTTGTTTGCGCTTCTCAAAGGTCGAAGTTCTTTCTCCTGAAACCTCTGATTCCCGAGGTGAAGATTCTCATCCCAGGATTTGCCCTGATGCTCCTGAGGCTAAACTGGCCCCGAAGAGACCTGTCCTTGTCACACCATGGACACCGCTGGTCCCGGGGCCGGAGGGGAGCAGACTGAGGGGCAGAGGAACCATGGACACCGCTGGTCCAGGGGCCGGAGGGGGAGCAGACTGATGGGCAGAGGAACCATGGACACCGCTGGTCCCGGGGCCGGAGGGGAGCAGACTGAGGGGCAGAGGAACCATGGACACCGCTGGTCCAGGGGCCGGAGGGGAGCAGACTCAGGGGCAGAGGAACCATGACCACCGCTGGTCCCAGGGCCGGAGGGGAGCAGACTGAGGGGCAGAGGAACCATGGACACCGCTGGTCCAGGGGCCGGAGGGGAGCAGACTGAGGGGCAGAGGAACCATGGACACCGCTGGTCCAGGGGCCGGAGGGGAGCAGACTGAGGGGCAGAGGAACCATGGACACCGCTGGTCCCAGGGCCGGAGGGGAGCAGACTGAGGGGCAGAGGAACCATGGACACCGCTGGTCCAGGGGCCGGAGGGGAGCAGACTGATGGGCAGAGGAACCATGGACACCGCTGGTCCAGGGGCCGGAGGGGAGCAGACTGATGGGCAGAGGAACCATGGACACTGCTGGTCCCGGGGCCGGAGGGGAGCAGACTGATGGGCAGAGGAACCATGGACACTGCTGGTCCCGGGGCTGGAGGGGAGCAGACTCAGGGGCAGAGGAACCATGACCACCGCTGGTCCCAGGGCCGGAGGGGAGCAGACTGAGGGGCAGAGGAACCATGGACACCGCTGGTCCAGGGGCCGGAGGGGAGCAGACTGAGGGGCAGAGGAACCATGGACACCGCTGGTCCAGGGGCCGGAGGGGAGCAGACTGAGGGGCAGAGGAACCATGGACACCGCTGGTCCCAGGGCCGGAGGGGAGCAGACTGAGGGGCAGAGGAACCATGGACACCGCTGGTCCAGGGGCCGGAGGGGAGCAGACTGATGGGCAGAGGAACCATGGACACCGCTGGTCCAGGGGCCGGAGGGGAGCAGACTGAGGGGCAGAGGAACCATGGACACCGCTGGTCCCAGGGCCGGAGGGGAGCAGACTGAGGGGCAGAGGAACCATGGACACCGCTGGTCCAGGGGCCGGAGGGGAGCAGACTGATGGGCAGAGGAACCATGGACACCGCTGGTCCAGGGGCCGGAGGGGAGCAGACTGATGGGCAGAGGAACCATGGACACTGCTGGTCCCGGGGCCGGAGGGGAGCAGACTGATGGGCAGAGGAACCATGGACACTGCTGGTCCCGGGGCTGGAGGGGAGCAGACTCAGGGGCAGAGGAACCATGACCACCGCTGGTCCCAGGGCCGGAGGGGAGCAGACTGAGGGGCAGAGGAACCATGGACACCGCTGGTCCAGGGGCCGGAGGGGAGCAGACTGAGGGGCAGAGGAACCATGGACACCGCTGGTCCAGGGGCCGGAGGGGAGCAGACTGAGGGGCAGAGGAACCATGGACACCGCTGGTCCCAGGGCCGGAGGGGAGCAGACTGAGGGGCAGAGGAACCATGGACACCGCTGGTCCAGGGGCCGGAGGGGAGCAGACTGATGGGCAGAGGAACCATGGACACCGCTGGTCCAGGGGCCGGAGGGGAGCAGACTGAGGGGCAGAGGAACCATGGACACCGCTGGTCCCAGGGCCGGAGGGGAGCAGACTGAGGGGCAGAGGAACCATGGACACCGCTGGTCCAGGGGCCGGAGGGGAGCAGACTGATGGGCAGAGGAACCATGGACACCGCTGGTCCAGGGGCCGGAGGGGAGCAGACTGATGGGCAGAGGAACCATGGACACTGCTGGTCCCGGGGCCGGAGGGGAGCAGACTGATGGGCAGAGGAACCATGGACACTGCTGGTCCCGGGGCTGGAGGGGAGCAGACTCAGGGGCAGAGGAACCATGACCACCGCTGGTCCCAGGGCCGGAGGGGAGCAGACTGAGGGGCAGAGGAACCATGGACACCGCTGGTCCAGGGGCCGGAGGGGAGCAGACTGAGGGGCAGAGGAACCATGGACACCGCTGGTCCAGGGGCCGGAGGGGAGCAGACTGAGGGGCAGAGGAACCATGGACACCGCTGGTCCCAGGGCCGGAGGGGAGCAGACTGAGGGGCAGAGGAACCATGGACACCGCTGGTCCAGGGGCCGGAGGGGAGCAGACTGATGGGCAGAGGAACCATGGACACCGCTGGTCCAGGGGCCGGAGGGGAGCAGACTGATGGGCAGAGGAACCATGGACACCGCTGGTCCAGGGGCCGGAGGGGAGCAGACTGATGGGCAGAGGAACCATGGACACTGCTGGTCCAGGGGCCGGAGGGGAGCAGACTGAGGGGCAGAGGAACCATGGACACCGCTGGTCCCGGGGCTGGAGGGGAGCAGACTGAGCTAGAAACCATGGACACCGCTGGTCCCGGGGCTGGAGGGGAGCAGACTGATGGGCAGAGGAACCATGGACACCGCTGGTCCAGGGGCCGGAGGGGAGCAGACTGATGGGCAGAGGAACCATGGACACCGCTGGTCCAGGGGCCGGAGGGGAGCAGACTGATGGGCAGAGGAGATGTCGGGTAATTAACTGTCTGCCTCCAGCGAAAGGTTGAGTCAAAGAAGGATGAGATGTTGCTTCTGAAATGATCCGTTTGGACTGCAGTGGCCCTCATTAGTGGCCCTCATTAGTGTCTCACCGTTTCACAAACTGTTAGAGCGAATGTCAGTGTTTTTGCTGATGTGACGATCTGCGTGAAATGGACACCAGCTTTAAGCTCTCTGAATAATGCATTCTGGGTATTCATCAATAATAAATGTCAAAAATGTCATTGTAACAGCACTTTTGTGTGTGTGAGAGAGAGGAGAAAGCAGTAGTCTCTCTCTGGTCTCTCTCTGGCCTCTCTCTGGCCTCTCTAGTCTCTGTCTGGTCTCTTTCTAGTCTCTCTGGTCTCTCTCTGGTCTCTCTAGTCTCTGTCTGGTCTCTTTCTAGTCTCTCTGGTCTCTCTCTGGTCTCTCTAGTCTCTGTCTGGTCTCTTTCTAGTCTCTCTGGTCTCTAGTTTCTCTCTAGTTTCTCTCTAGTCTCTCTCTGGTCTCTCTCTCTGGTCTCTCTCTGGTCTCTCTCTCTGGTCTCTAGTTTCTCTCTATTCTCTCTCTGGTCTCTCTCTCTGGTCTGGCTTATCTCTCTCTCTCTCTTTTCTCTCGTGATAATACCGTTAGACATTTAAATCAAATTTCCTTGTACCTCACCTGGTACCTCTTCACCCTCTGGTCACTAACACCATCGTGTCCGTGCTGCCATTTCACGGTGATTTAATAAGCTGATCTCAGGAGCTATGGTTGTCACATCCCGGCCTCTGTCACATCCACATATCTCCTCTCCTCTCTCTCCCCCACGTGGATTCATATAACCCCATACCCCCCCTCCCTCAAGCCTCCCCCCAAGCCTCCAACCCCCCCCTGCCAGCTCTTCTGTCCCATTTCAGCTGAGCAAACGGCAGGAGATGGAGGAGTGCAGAGGCCACGGCTAAGATGTGCTTTAACTGCCGATGGGAAAATGTCAGTCTCCTTCACAGTCTGGGAATAACAAATAGCTCGCTGAGTGTCATGACAAGCAACGGTCCCACCACTCCAACACCCCCCTGCCCCCATCCCACCACTCCCCCCCCCTTGCCCCCGTCCCACCTGAGAATCACGCATGACCCAGGGAAAATGAACAGCCTCCAAACATACCGTGGGAATGACAACACATCGTGGCTACTTTTGATAATAAAAAAGTAGATTTGTCTTGTCGTTCAGTTGTAGATCGTTTGCAAAGATCCTTCCGGAAAATATGGATTACTTGCATGTTCTCCCCATGTCTGCTCCGGTTTCCCCCAGCCACTACAAACATGTACAGTAGGTCTGACGTGCGCCTCCTGTATCCCCCTCGCTTCCATCTCTGTGTGGAGTCAGAGATAATTGTAAAGTGCTTTGTGACTCAATTTACTTTGTGGGCTGAAGTTATGTCATTTATTTAGGGGTTTGGTTTTGTGCATTTTTCTATAATTAGTTATATTTTAGTTTTTAAAAATATATTTAGTTATGTTTAATTTTTTGTACATTTTATTTTTTATTTTTGGGGCATTTAGATATTTTTGTAGATGAGATTATATTGGGTTTAGTTCAATATGCACTTCAGGGATTTTTTTTTTTTTACTAGTTCATGGAGATGCAGCTTTGTTATAAACCTTTTTGATTATTACAATATTTTTGATTGGACATTTATTTCTGTCATTTTCGACTACAAAAAAAACACAGACCCATGGTACATTATAGTTATTATTTGAGTTTGTTTGGGCGAATAGTCACTACAGAGATTGTGTGGTGAGTTTATGACACATTTCCCTGAGAGGACAATAACACTGAACCTTGATTATTGCAAACTAAGGATGTGAAATTAAGATTTTAAGGTTGAAATGGCGGTTGCATGTCACAGAACACAGCAGCGGTGATGATCATGGCTCCAATGGGTTCAGATCTCGTCCCAGTTAAAGTCCCATCTTTATCCGCGGTGCAATAGAACTCCTGCCACGGACCTGACGTGAAAATTACCCCTATTTCACCGTCAGCTCTGGACTTATTCGGCTCTGAGTGGTCCCAACAACAGTCTCTGGAGATGGGTTGACTTTGTGTCTGGTTTTGGTGGAATGAAATGTCTTTTTTTGGTTTCACACGATCAGTTTTAGTTTAGATTTTGTTTATTGTTTATTGGGGCGACAGTGGCTCAGTTGGTAGAGCATCGGCCTTAGAGCCTGAAGGTCGTGGGTTTGAGCCCACCGTAAGACCTACTTCACAACTCCCACTGATGACTGCTGTCGTTGTGTCCTTGGGCAAGACACTTAACCCCACTTTGCGTGAAGATCTCAGCTCCTGTGGACTCAGCACCTACAGGAGGATCAGCGAGGGGCTGGTGCTCTGTACTGGGTGCAGCTCTGACTGCCACCCCCCCAACCCAGAAATGGATTAAAGGGAAGAAGATGGATAGATGTATGGGTTTATTTTTTCACGTACACTTTACATGCAGTGACATTCTTATGTACCTCCAGCAGATGTTCAGTAAAGTATTCACACAACGACTGAATAGTAACGACACAGAGACAGAGACATAGACAGAGGAGGCAGAGGCAGAGACAGAGACAGAGACAGAGGCTGAGGCAGAGACAGAGACAGAGACAGAGACAGAGGCTGATGCTGAGGCTGAGGCAGATACAGAGGCAGAGACAGAGACAGAGGCTGATGCTGAGGCTGAGGCAGATACAGAGGCAGAGGAGGCAGAGGCAGATACAGAGGCAGAGGAGGCAGAGACAGAGACAGAGACAGAGGAGGCAGAGGCAGAGACAGAGACAGAGGCTGAGGCAGAGACAGAGATAAGAGCCAGAGGAGGCAGAGGCAGAGGAGACAGAGACAGAGGAGGCAGAGGCAGAGACAGAGACAGAGGCTGAGGCTGAGGCTGAGGCTGAGACAGAGACAGAGGAGGCAGAGGCTGAGACAGAGGAGGCAGAGGCAGAGACAGAGGAGGCAGAGGCAGAGACAGAGACAGAGACAGAGGCAGAGACAGAGGCAGAGGCAGAGACAGAGACAGAGGAGGCAGAGACAGAGACAGAGGCTGAGGCTGAGACAGAGACAGAGGAGGCAGAGGCAGAGACAGAGGAGGCAGAGGCAGAGACAGAGGAGGCAGAGGCAGAGACAGAGACAGAGACAGAGACAGAGACAGAGACAGAGGCAGAGACAGAGGAAGAGGCAGAGACAGAGACAGAGACAGAGGCAGAGACAGAGGCAGAGACAGAGACAGAGGAGGCAGAGGCAGAGACAGAGACAGAGGCTGAGGCTGAGACAGAGACAGAGGAGGCAGAGGCAGAGACAGAGGAGGCAGAGGCAGAGACAGAGGAGGCAGAGGCAGAGACAGAGACAGAGACAGAGACAGAGACAGAGACAGAGACAGAGGCAGAGACAGAGGCAGAGGCAGAGACAGAGACAGAGGAGGCAGAGGCAGAGACAGAGGCTGAGGCAGAGGCAGAGACAGAGGCTGAGGCAGAGACAGAGGCTGAGGCTGAGGCAGAGGCCGAGACAGAGACAGAGACAGAGGCAGAGACAGAGGCTGAGGCTGAGGCAGAGACAGAGGAGGCAGAGGCAGAGACAGAGACAGAGACAGAGGAGGCAGAGGCAGAGACAGAGACAGAGACAGAGACAGAGACAGAGACAGAGGCTGAGGCTGAGGCAGAGACAGAGACAGAGACAGAGACAGAGACAGAGACAGAGGCTGAGGCTGAGGCAGAGACAGAGACAGAGACAGAGACAGAGGCTGAGGCTGAGGCTGAGGCAGAGACAGAGACAGAGGCTGAGGCTGAGGCTGAGGCTGAGGCTGAGGCAGAGACAGAGACAGAGACAGAGACAGAGACAGAGACAGAGGCAGAGACAGAGGAGGCAGAGGCAGAGGCAGAGAAAAACATTGTAAAATAGGTCTGTAGATCCAGGACTCAGACTGTAGAACGAGGACAGGTGCCATGCAGGACTCAGGGGATAGATATAAAATAGACATAATCCTGGGTATTTTCAAAGCTAAAGCACATTTCCCTGAATATTCCCTGCACACCTTTTCTCATCTACATTATTAATACTTTTTGCTGTAAATAAAAGCCTCTAATTCTTTCCAGAACCAGTGGGGAGTCCTTACCGTGCATTATGTAACATTGGATTTGATTTGTTTTCTTTCTATCCCAGATGCACATTGTGGCAGCACCAAACAAACCGTGATCGTGACTGTAATCGCTCTGATTGGTTTTACAATGAATGAAACATAATAAAACCGGATAATCTACGTTAAAACTGTAAATACTGGGATTTCTGTTCTACGTCCAGCACAGAGACATTTATCTAGATCCAGTGTTCGGACTGAGCCACCATCAAGATATAAAACCCAGATAAGTCCTGTGTCTGAAACATTGGAGAACCATTGTGGCCAAATCTAGGGCGGCAGTAGCTCAGTTGGTAGAGCGTTGGTCTTTGAGCCAGAAGGTCGTGGGTTCAAGCCCCACTCAAGACTTTCACCATCGACTCCCACTGACTACTGTTGTTGTGTCCTTGGCAAGACACTTAACCTCTGGGAACACCTGATACCACTGTGGGGCGGCTGCGGCTGTAAAGTGCCAAACTGCCGTTGTGTCCTTAGGCAAGACACTTCACCCCCATTGCCTAGAATGAGTCTGGTGTGTGTGTGAATGGTTGGTGCTGGTCGGAGGGGCCAATGGCACAGACTGGTTGCCTCACTTCGGTCAGTGTGCCCCAGGGCAGCTGTGGCTACAGTAGTAGTTTAACACCACCGTGTATGGAGTGAATGAATAATGACACATGTGAAGCGTCTTTGAGTGTCCAAAAAAGCGCTATATAAAACCGATGCATTATTATTATTATTAAGTTGAGAAAAAGGGAATTACAATGGTTAATAATCCCATTTGAGACTTAGTAATAATAATAATAATAATGCATTGGGTTTTCTATAGCGTTTTTCTGGACTCTCAAAGTCTCTTCACGTCATTATTCATTCACTCCAGACACGGTGGTGATAAACTACTACTATAGCCACAGCTGCCCTGGGGCACACTGACAGAAGCGAGGCAACCAGTCTGTGCCATCGGCCCCTCCCACCACCACCAACCATTCACACACACACCAAACTCATTCTAATGTGGGGGAAGTGTCTTGCCTAAGGACACAACCACAGTTTGGCATTTTACAGCCGCAGCCGCCCCACTGTGGTGTTCCCAGAGGTCTCCCATCACAGTGCTAATCCGGCCCTGTCCTGCTTAGCCTCAGAGGTCTGACAGGATCTAGCTTTCACCTGCCGTTAATGCCACATAAGTTTGATGTTGTGATAATTCATATAAAGTTATAAATCCAGAGTGAGTTGCTTCACAAATGTCAGAATTCTTGTTTTTATCTCATGGTATTATATCATTTACTTTTAGACTTTTTATTCTGTTTTATTTTGCTAAGGGGATTCTAATGTTTGGAAAAAGACAGCATACTCAAGAAAAAAGATGAAATAGAAGGAAATAAATAAATCAATACTTTTAAGTGTTTTTTTTAACCTTGATGTGAGCACATTCTCGCCAAAGGGACAAATCCATTCAGTCTTATTTTAAAAAATAAAATAAAATTGTCTTAAATCCTTTTGCTTGAAGATCATTTTCCGTGTCCCATTGGCAGATCTTGTTTTAAGGCCGTCAAAAAATTTGCTCAAATTAAAATACATTCAGCCAAATTTGGGCATTTTGACTTACTTTCCATGAGGTTAGTCCCGTGTCAGAACCACTGTGTGTGTTTTTGTCCATATTCGCTCTTATCTAGAACCATCTCGGGCCAGACCACTAGATGTCACCCTTGCTCCGGGTTTGGCCTCTCTCTGTTCCTGGAGATATTAGAAGTGATCTCAGGTTAGA